GTTTCTTGAGACTCAAAATCCATAGTTCAATGCCAAGACTACAAAATAACAAGTGGTTTCTGTGTTAGGAAAGAGCACAAAACTCTACAATTCTCCATAAAAAGAATGGTTTTTGTCAAGATTGAATGTATAAGTTACAAGAAGAAACGCAAGCCTACTTGTTCCGAGAGATAGAGACTCTTTACACAAAAGTCACAACAAATCAAAACTCTTTACACAAAAGTTACACATTTTATCAAATCTCAACACAGCTAAACATCTGAATAACATCAAATTGATAGATCGGCTTTTGATTTCTCCCACAGCTCATGCACAATACACAAAACCCATTTCTCAGAATCAACAGTCAAGCTCATACACAATACACAATCACATGAGCCAATAGAAAAACCCAGAAAACCCACTTCAACAAATCCGCAAATCTACTGAAACCCATTTCAATAAAACCGAAAAATCTTAAATCAACTGAAAAACTCACTTAAACTCACGAGAAGAGAGAAGAGCTGAGCTTCACCGATGGAAAAGAAAAGTCGACGGTGATGAAGAGGAGAGAACGGTGGGTGGAGACTGGAGAGGAGAGAAGGCGGTGATGAAGAGGAGAGAAACGGTGGGTCTCGAAGCTAGATCTGTTTTTTTTTCACCGATGGAAAACAAAAGTCGAGGAAGAGAACTAAACGGTGTCGTTTCAGCATAGAATTTCAATAAAAAAAATTAAACGGGCTACCCGAATCTAAAACTGAAGACCCGTTAGTATATGGGCCTAATCGGGTGCGCCCGTTTAATAATTTGTGTGTTTGAAACGGGCTCGGGTAGACCCGTTTAGTTGTAACCCGTTTAAGCCCACGGGCTTAAGCCCGAAATCACATCCCTACAAATGGTAATTAAGAATCTTAGGCTTGTAAACTCCAAACAGCTCAGGCAAAACTTACAAGAATGCTTCTACTGACTAATTAGCAGTGAAGAAAAATGGTAACTAACGAGATTACAAGTCTGTGAATATGTAAAAGAGGACATTACCACGAAAGCAGAACGGATTTTCCTCCCCATAATCAATGTCTCACATCCAACATAGCCAATGTAATTAGGAAGAAATTGTCAAATTCAAAAGATTTTGATGTTACATTACATTCTTCTTTGTTCAATTCAACCAATTTTGAGGTAGAAAAGGATTTTCCTTTTTTCCATTTCTGCAGAACCGTGAACTGCTGATGTCTAAAACAAGCTAATTATTTTTTTAAGCGTAGAATTTCGTTAAAACTCGTTCAGTTAGAGCAAACACTAGCAGGACCAGATTCATAAACAATCTTTCAGAAATCTCGACATGATTTAAAATCCTTCAGAATCTCTCTCTCAATATGCAAATTTTAAAGTTTTCTCACCATGTGAGAATCTTTCGAGCTTTTTGAAAAAAAAATCTTACTTTTCTGGGAATTTTATTACTTCATCAAAAACAGACATTATTCGAATGGAATTGGAGGCGAGAGAGAAAGAAATCCAGACAATTTTTTATTACATGTGTTTTGGTGTTTGTACGAAAACGGCATAGAGGAACAAAACTGTGTCCCGTTTTTATGACCAAAACGCAGTGTTTTGAGATTTTTAAGCGGCCCAGAAAAACACACGTCGACTATACACACGAGGGTTGTTTAGCGGGTGACTTTTGAGTTTAGGGGATTGACTTGCACAGAAAAAAGGTGAGGGTTTATTTTGCAAATTTAATTTAGTTCAATGGTTTTTTTGCACAAAACCCTAAATGTTTCTAACACACTTTCAAATGGGCATTTTGAAGAAAAGCGTTTCCTTTACATTTTCTTGTGTTTTCGTCGCATTTCCATTTTCGATATGTATCGAAACGTGAAACGCACACTCATGGAAGTTTCCAGTGCAACACATATGAAGTCAAATTAATTTAATAACTTGCCAAAATAATTAGATTTATCATTTAATTTTGTGATTTTTTTGGTAATTATGTATTTATTAGGTAGTGATCGGCAATTTTGCTTTAAGGGCTTTTATGGACTTTTAGAATTTTCTAAAGTCTTAAAAGCAATATTTTATCCAAGTTATTAAAATTTTAAAGTCTTTAAACTCATTAACTTACTTCTTAAAGTTTACATCCCTTTTTACTCTTTTATTCTTTATAATCATTTGATTTAAAAAAAAAAAACCAAAAACAAGGTTTTTAACATTTTTTTAAAGCCTTACTTCAATCCCAATTATCACAACAGACTTCAATCCCAATTATCAGAGCCTTACAGTAGAAACTCTATAAATTAATACTCGTTACATTAATAAATACTGTAAATTAATAAATTTCTCTGGTTCTGAGTTGGACCGGTTTAAAATATGACATAGTTCAATAAAATAATAAGATAATAACTTTGTTAAAACTCCTATGTAAAATATGGTCTCAATAATATTATAAATTAATAATTATTATATAAAAACTTATAAATATATATAACTACTAGTAGAGTACCCGCACGTTTGTGCGGTGTGACGTTGTTGTTTTGTGTAGAAAATTTAAACCCTAAATCCGAACCCGACAAAAAACCCTAATCAAAAAATTTAAAAACCCAAACTTTTTTAATAGGTCTAAACATGAAAATCCGAAATCAAAAAAATCCCGAAAACCCTGACTGAACAAAAAAAATCTGGAAACTTTTTCACCCGGAACCCGACCCCAATACCTAATCAAAATTTTAAAATACTCAATTTTTTTAATATATCTAAACCCGAAAACCAGAAATCTAAAAAATCCGGAAAACCCTAAACTGAAAAAAAAATTGAACCTAACCCGAACAGAAATTTTCAAAGAAACCCGAACAATTTCTATATCTCTATATATATCTCTATAAAATTATGTCTCAGATTTTCACCCAAACCCGAACTTGTCTATAAAAACCCGAAAATCCAAAAAGCATATTCTATTGATTTGGAATTATCGTTAGATTATGTTAAGTTTTTTTTTTGCAGATTTTTAAGAGATGGAAAACGGAAGTTTTCTAAACCATCGGTTTATTTTAAGTTATTATTCTTGTATCCAAACAATTTTTTCCATTTATTCTTCTATCCAAATAGATTTTTCTCTTATTCTTATATCCAAACAACTTTTGTTTCCATTTATTCTTCTATCCAAATAGATGTTTCTCTAATTCTTGTATCCAAACATTAGAATGTACTTCTCAATTAATAATATAAAGAAGATAGATATTTTATTATGAATCTCTCACACGATGACAACATGAAACTTTATATATATACTAGATTAAGGCCCGCGTATACGCGGGTATATTTTAAGATTTTATAATAAAAGCATGGAAAATATTAAACAAAATTTGATCATTTTTAAACGTAAACAAAATAATATTGAAAACCCGATAAAAATATTTAAATAAAATAAGATTGGTAATACTTTTACATTTTTATTGTAATTGATTTTTCTTTTGAATTTATGATATGACAAAATGAATTAATTTGTTTTACTATTATTTTTATCCAATACAGAAAGACTTACACATGTCTAAATCTGATCAACTGATTAATTAATCAAACTTTTATTATTCCATTCAAGAGATTTTAATTGATGAAATCTTTATTTCAATTTTTTTACCTAACAAAAATTGAAAATCAAACTATTTAAAATTAGAATATCAATTATAATTTTTTAATATTAGTTAATTGCTTGATAATTATTTTGTTAGTTTTCTATTTATATTTTTTCTTTCTCAATTTTGTTTTTGCCTCGACCATTATAAATACTATATATTGGTATTTTTCCTTTTCGAAATGGATTTTTTTTCCTTTTCTTAATAGATGTAACAAAAGAATTTAAATTATTTGTTTCCTGTTTTTTTTTACTTTTAATGGATATTATTTTTTTCATTTTAATTATTTGTTATCTGTTTTTCTAATTTTTAGTTAGTCTTATACATATTAATTTTTTTTTATTCCATGACACATGTTACGATCTTCATACTTCAGAATTTTTTTTTTTCTAAAACACATGTCGCAATTTTGTCAGTTATAAAAATCCTATGTATCGCAAAACTTTCAAAAACATGATTTTTAAATTGGAGAAATAGAATCAAAGGGATTTGATGAATTTGCTTTGATGAATTTATGATTGAGAAACTTGACTCTCTTTTATAGGGGTTCAAGTAACCTATTACATGCAGTTATAGGAAATTTAGTTTACATAACATATTCCATGTACAAATAGGATTTTATTTATTACATTATTTTGATTTTATTATTTGTTTGGATAATATTAATTTGATGAATGGAAACCTTTCTCTATTAGGATATGACAAATATATTTTTATTTCTTTTAACTGTAATGGATTTTTTTTTAAAATTCCTTTATCTAAATTTTTTTATTATTTTTTTTCTCTAAGACATGTGTCAATGGTTGCAACCACGTCGTGCGCATCCAACTTTATATAATAAAAATTGATGAATGAAAACCTTTTTCTGTTTGGATATGGCAAATATTATTTTTTCCTTTTTGATATAATATATTAAATTAAATTTCGTTTTTTTTAATTAACATTTTTCTGGAATTTTTTTTTTTAAGTTTTCTTTTTTCCTAAGACACGTGTCACGATCTTAACGGACATAAACTTAAAAGTGACACATGTCGCGATCCTGAATTTTATAAAAATCCTACGTGTCGCAACCACGTCGTGCGCATCCAGCTTTATATAATAAGATATATATATATATATATAGATATTATATGGTTATTTTTTTTTCTCAGTTTTTGAGAGAAATGTTTTGTATGACTATAATATTTTGACATGTATCCTTTTTGTCAAATAAATACTAATTTATATAAACTACATAGTTAAACCAATTGCTAAATTAAACCATAACTAAACCGTGATAAATTCAAAAGTATTCAAATGAAATTTCGGATCATCCCAAATCCAATTGCTAAAGTTTCTGTTTGAATTTTTGGCTCAACCGTTTTGGTTTGGTTCGGTTAGCTTTCGATTGCAATGCTTTTTCCCGAACTTAACAATCGCAGGAGAAAATCTCTCACGGTTATAGCTATGGCAATGGCGGAACCAAGGAAGCTGAGAGGCCACTCATCGACTGCCACTTGCTGTATAACTTCTCGTGACCGGCCGGGACTTGTTGTCACTTCCGGCGAGGTCTCTTCTAAAATCTCTAACTGAAACATCTTTTTTTTTCTTCGTCTTTGATTCGATGAATTTTGGGTTTATTCCGCATCGATTTAGGTAAGTATGAATAATGTTTAACAATTTCGAGAGGTGATTTATAGGATGGTCGCGTTTGCTGGTTTGATTTGCGATGTAAAGATGTCCAATTCACCATTGACGTTGGGGCAGAACCTGTTTCATCTCTTTGTTTCAAAACAGGTTTTGTCTCTTTTTTTTTTTTTGAATCTATCTCAATTTCATCTCTTTGTTTCAAATTTTGATACATTTTTTTTTTCAATTCAGGTAACGAGAACATTCTCTATGCTTCTTCTGGAAACGAAATCAAGTCTTTCGATGTTCATACGGTAAGAAAAAAGAATCGAAAACTTTTTTTGATAAATGATTGAAAACATTATCTTTCACTTAGTTTAAAAATTTATCTCCTTTCTCCATTTTCATTAGCTAAATGGTGCTTCTTGGAAGCCATTAGATAGTTACAATTACAACAAAGATGAAGTAAACCAAGTGGTTTGCAATGGAAGATCATCTTTTCTAGCTTCTGCTGATGACTCTGGTGATGTTAAGGTACTTGCAGATTTACAATAAACATGACTTTTTTTTCTCTCAGTATGATTGATTAACTATGCTTGCTCGAACACAGATCATCGATATTGGTCAGAAATGTCTTTACAAAACCCTTAGAGCTGGTCATACAAGTGTATCCTTAAAACCTTAATCCTTTTTTTGCTCCCTCCCACCGTCTTTAAATTTCTTTGCCTTAATGTGACATTATAAAGATATGCAGTAGTGTACAATTCATTCCATGGAGACCTTGGGAAGGTAATTAACTAACTAACTAACTATTATTCATTTTGTTATAATCTCTTCTTCAAGGTTTCTAAAATGTCTAGTTTCTTTTCTTGCAGTTATAACTGGTGGACTTGATTCGAAGCTTCTTCTGTGGGATTTCTCAAAAGGCCGATCGCAAAAGATTATAGACTTTGGTAAAGCCTCTAAGCTTGCTGATTTCAAGTTTCTTATGGGCCAATTAATCTGATTTCTGTAAATCTTTTTTCAGGCTCTGATACACAAAGTAACTCAGGACAATGTTTAAACCCTGCGTTTGTTCACTCGATAGCGATTCCGGAAGTAGACATGGTTGATAAGTTAGGCAAGATATGCGCGGTTGCTAGAGGTGACGGGATTGTCGATCTGATCAATATCGAATCAGAGCTTTCACGGAAAGGAACTTCATCAAAAGGAAGCAGCAGCAGCAGCAATGTGATGAACAAAAGGGTTTGTTTAGATTACTCTGTTGGTGGACACAACGCTGCTGTGTCTTGTGTTGCGTTTTCTCTGTTTCAAGAAAAAGGTAGGTTCTTGATCTCAGGTGGTAATGATAAGACAGTTAAAATCTGGGATTGCTTTAAATGTCTTGATTCAGAAATCAACAACAACAGTGACTTCCTCCATTTGGATATTAGCCTGAGCAAGAAGGTGATTAAACTAAAAGCTCCCATTGTTCTTTTGCATTGCCATTTCATCTATCTGATTCTGACATCTAATTTTGCTTTTTTTAAAACAGGTGAATTGGCTTTGCACGAGTCAATCTGATTCTGAGAATCTTGTCGTCTGTGACACAACGAGAGTAGTTAAGGTTTACACAATCTCTTAAGTTTGGCTATAAAATAGACTGAAAGATTCATCTTTGTCTCGCATTGTTATTTAATGGAGTTTTCTGAAGTGGTTGCTTGATCCACAAGTTAGTTATTTGTTCTTCATAACGAAAATGAATAAGTTGATTGACACTCTACTAGTTTTAACTAGAGCTTGGGTTAGATTAAAACTTTTGATCTGCTAATGATATTTCTTCTAATTAAAATTTGACGAGGTTATTTTTTTTGTCTAACAATGTTGTATTTTCTAAAATAAATAGTGATCGTTTTGTGTATTAGATAATAGGTTTTTCATGTTGAAAATGTTTACTTTTGACTCAAATAATTGATTCTACAAAACCTTGCCTTTGAAGTAATGATACAATCATCAAGAACTTACCAAAGACTTCATAGTAGGCCTGGGCATTTTACCCGGACCCGAAAGACCGAACCGAACCGGAATCAAGACAAATATCCGATGGATCCAAAAAATTTATACCCGAAAAACCGAACCCGAATCCGAACCGAACCGAGAACCGAATGGGTACTCGAAATATTCAAAATATAATTATATATCCAAAATATTAGTTATTTTTTAGACTTATAATAGCTTATAATACTAAAAAATAACTAAAATTACAATTATAAATCTAATATAATAGTTATATTTAGAACAAAATAACTAAAATATTCGCAAAATCCAAAAATATTTAGTAGAAGATGGATTATAACAAGATTTTATCGGTTATTTTGTAGGATTTTGGATATTCGGTAAAAAAAACCGATAAAAACCGACCCGAATCAGAACCGAATGAGATCCCAATAAGAATCAAAATTTGTATAAACCCGAACGGGTCAATAAAATTTAGCCCCGAACCGACCCGAACCCGACAGAACCGAACCGAAACCGAACCGAAATTTTCCTAAACCCGAACGGATCTAAAATTTAGCAACCCGAAAAGACCTGAACCCGAATAGAACCGACCTGAACCCGAAACGAAACCCGAACGCCCAGGCCTACTTCATAGCATTGCTTTATTCAAGTCTCGCCATTCTTCTGACATTCAATCCACCAAAGCACATTGCAAGAGCAATGGTGAAAACAAAATTTCAAATCTACCAGGACAAATCTCGAATAGATTTGCAGAGCTCAAAGAAAAGAGGTCCTTTGATTTGACTGATTATAGTTTTGATGACAGCAAATCTAAATAAACAAAGGGATATATCAAACTGATTAAGACTACCAAACTGATGTCAAAAAAGGTTTTTCTTTTACTAGGACAAGAAACTCTTCAACATCTAGAAACAGTAAAGATAACAACAACTTGAAACAAAAAGTTAAAAATCAACACAAAATCTCCGAAGATTTTTTAAGCTTTGCTTATGCAGTGATGTTCTGAGACTTGTTGAGAATAACTCCTTCATACTTAGCTTGGAACCATTTCATTGCATCGTCCTTCGTTACTCTGTGCTGGATACCAACACGAGCCTTGCATCTACGGCGACGTTCCACACCTAAATACACAAAAATGATAACAGATGATACCAGTATGTTGATCTTATGAAAACTCTTTGTCGTAACATGCACTTCCATTTGTTGCATTTCAATCAAAAGCATTGGAGCCTTTGTTTTTGTCTCTGTAGTTGCATAGTATGAATGAGATAGTAATTGGTTACAGAGGATCAAGTGGTTAGTATTTTGACTCTCTCTACTTTACTCACTTCACTTACTGACAGTGACAACGAAAATATCAAGAGAGCCTTAACGAACTAACTAAGAAACTCTTTAGACACTTGTATTTGGTTGTATGACTTGTGTAGAGCACTAAAATCACATGCTTGTGTTGAAAACTTGCAGAACCATTGCAGAGGTAAAATGTCTTTATTGAGTGAACAACACACAAACAAACTAAAGGACTTAGTACACAGAAAAAGGTGCAGATGAGAATGGAGACACAAGGGAAGTATTTGTTGACAATTCTCGGATTTCAATCTCGCCAACGGAAAGGCAGGTTTGGTCAACGATATCTCACACATTAATGGTGCTTCTTCTCAAGCTTTTCGATTATATGGTGAACGAGAGAAAGAAGAAACCGGAGATGTTGGTGTTAAACCTGAATCCGGGTTTGTCAACTTCGATTTAAACTCCAAAAACGGGTTTAATCTCTTGAATTCTGGGAGCTATGGGCCATAATTTGTTGAGCTATGGGCCAACGAGTTATTATGTGACTAAATATGATTGTGCATATTTAAGAAAGATAGATTGGTAAGAAAATGTAAAATTTCCACAAGAATCGTACATAACATTTTTTGACAAGAAAAAAATTGAATAATAGATAAAATGTTAACTTTCGTAAAGGAAAAAGGTTAGAAATTAAAAAAAAAAACAAAAAAAGAAAAGAAATCGTTGATCACAATTAGTAAAATGTAAAGTACATGTAATGAATTACAGTTTTCCTATACAGAGATGTAATTTTTCTTATTAAAACAGAAAAAGAATTTTATACTTTGACAAAAATGTTTACAATATTTGTAGTAATATGACAAAAATAAGATATAAAAAGGAAAAATACTGCATCGTAATAATAGGAAAAAAGGGAAATCTTATTTGATTGAAAGCTATATAAATATAAATGAATGAGCTTAATTTCTCAATCAAAATTTTTCTATCATAGTTTAAAAATATTCATATTAGCTAGAAGATGGATTTAAATTTGAGATTATCTCAATATGATCCATTGGTTATAAAAAAGAAGTTATTTCAATATGATATTTCGAATCATGGTACACTTTATCTACCGCGAGGAGGATTAGATTCTATTATTCCGCAGATGAGATAAGCTATGGTTCAACAGATGGGAATGTCAAACGGTGCTGAAGTGAAGGTCCATGTTATAGAGGAAGGTAATCAAGCTGATGACTACACATGGAGGTTAGTTAGAGTCGGTGATTACAATTACTATTTGAGGGGAGGATGGGGCTCTTTTGCTAGAGACAACTATTACCAAACAGACGATGAAATTGGACTCATGTGGGATCAAAGCAATGAAATATTCTTGCTCCACAAGATAGTCCGATATTAGTTGTCTTCTGAGATATCGAAGAGCTTTTCTACTATTTATTTAAGTGGTTTTAGTTTATTATTGTTTTTTTTTAGTTAAATGTGGGTTTTATGAGTCTTCTAATAAATAATATTAATTTTTTTTTTAATTTCAAGTTTTGGTCTTAAAGAGATAATACCTTTGATGCTAATCATGCCACTTGTGTTTAATTTAGTTACTGTTCTTGAGTTTTCTGTAAATTACGTATTATCTTAGCGATCGAGGATAGTCATGATTTCGACACCCGTGGGCATTAGAAAGATCTTATGATTTTCTATAAGCTAGTAATTGGTGATTATTGCTAAACGGGACTAACTTTACTAAGATCCACAGATCCAACGAAATTCTCAATATTCAGAGACGAGGTATATATACAAAACTAATTTGGGAAAAGAAAAAAAGACAATCGAACTGAAACAAAGAGAAGTGGGACACAAAAGAAAACAGGGGTATGTCATGCTTTCGTGTTTCTTAAGTTTTGTATAAGAAAAACAATTAATCACTTTTTACTTTCCTCGTTCTTTCTTTCTCACTTTTAAAAAGTTTACATATGGAGTTGATTTGACAGACTATAGTTTTGAATTGATGACAGTAAATCTAAATAAACAAAGAACGATATCTTCAAGTTTCATGAAAGATTAAGATTCTACCAAACTGATGTCAAAAAAGGTTTTTACTAGGACAAGAAACTCTTCCAACATCCAGAAATAGTAAAATATAACAACTTGAAACAAAAAGCTAAAAATCAACACAAAATCTGTAAAGATTTTCAAGCTTTTTTTAACCGGTGATGTTCTGAGACTTGTTGAGAATAACTCCTTCGTACTTAACTTGGAACCATTTCATTGCATCGTCCTTGGTTACTCTGTGTTGGATACCAACACGAGTCTTGCATCTACGGCGACGTGCCACACGGTATCCTGGGCGTTCAAGAACAACATAGAAGTCCATTCCATAGATACCAGTAGATGGATCGTACCTAAAATATACACAAAATTATGAGAATCTCAAAAACCATTGAGAAAGTGTTCATCTTCTACCAAAACCCAAATCAAACATTCAACCAAAACCAGTAGAGTGAAATGTTCATACGAACCCAATTCTAATATTCCACAAAAACCAACAAGTCTTCATCTTAAATCAATTTTGAGCCTAACATTCTACATGACAGCCAGAAAATCTTTACACAGACCAGTCCATGAAGAAACTGAAGCGCCAAACTTTTTTATACATAGAACCAATCTATGAAGAAACTGAAGCATCAACTCCTTCATGCTAATTGCTAAGGCAATCTTTTATCTAAATGAAGGCTTTCTACATAAACAGAAAACTTACTTGATTCCAAGATCAATGTGCTCTTGAATACCGAATCCAAAGCAACCAGTGTCACTGAAGTTCCTCCTAAGGAGCTCGTACTCCTTCACTTTCAAACCACTCTCGAGAAGCTGCATTGCCTTATCACCTCTCACAGTGACGTAACAAGCAATCTTCTCATTACGCCTAATTCCAAAGGACCTCACAGTGTACCTCGCTGTTATACAAAATCCATAAACATAATTATCAAACAAGACCACTAACTCTAAGCTATAGCAAATCTTAAACATTTCACTTACCCTTTGAGAAAACAGGGGTTTGGCCACTAAGCTGCTCCAAGACCTAAAATTGACAAATGATTCGTAAGCTCTATTGGCCCTTTCAAGCAAATGGGAATCTTAAAGTATACATTTTTTTTTTCTTCTTGTGATTGCTAGGAAATTAAAAAAAAAAAAAAAAAAAAAAAAAAAAAAACGGACCTTGGAGGCACGAGTGAGACGATCACCACTCTCACCAACTGAGATGTTGAGAACAAGTTTCTGAACCTTAATGTCCCTCATGGGGTTCGAGAGCTTCTTCTCCGACGCCTACAATCACAAATCAAGTTTGACTTAAGGAATCCATTCAACAAAACATATCATCACTGAATCGATCTACGGGTCAAATCGATAAGGAGAGGAACGTTACCATTTCAACGAGATCAAAAGTCGAGCTCTAACAGTAGGAAGCTATGGAGTTGCGGAAACGAAACTGCGTCGAGTGGCAAGTGAAAGGTATTATATTGGACGGAGACTAGGGTTTTCTTAAACCTACGGAATGACGAAATTGTCCCTATTGAGGAAATGAGTTTTATTTGAGCGTAGGCCCGAAGTTACAAAGCCCAAATCATGTTTTTCTTAAACAACTATCAAATATTTTATTTTTATTTATTGATACTGTAATGATTTTTGTCATACTTTGCAGTGTTAGAGAAAATAATTTGTAAGATCAATATTCCAACTAAACTCAAGATCATTAAAAGTTGCCAAAAAAAAAAAAACTCAAGATCATTAAAAATTGTGGTATGTTAAGTTAATGGCAATGAAACAAAACCAACGAATTACACTTTGATATGTATGTAACTAGTTTCAACTTTCAAGTTTTATCTTGGTCCAGAGAGCTCAATAGCTTCAATTATGAAAGAATTCTCTTCATGACCATTACTGTAATTCCTAGAGACGCTTAGAGCTCGAGCTTCATACCCACTTTGCGTCTGCTCATAACCAGACTGTTCCACTAAACCTTCCAAAACCTTCAAGACTTGAGACATCCTCGGTCTCAGATTCGGATGTGGCTGCGTACAAAGCAGAGCCAATTCCACAACTTCCTCCAACACCAAATCATCAAACTCTCCTCTCAAATCTCTGTCCACCATCTCTCCAAATCTCTTCTCTGCTTTCAATGTCCTTACCTGATCCAAAGATCAAAGACTTTGATTCAAGTTTTATCCTTTAAAAGTTTCTTGCTTTTTTTGCAAATCAAAGAATGTACCAGAAAGATTCAATCTTTTGGCTTTACCCAAGTCAAGATCATTCCTTTTCTAACTTGACCATTGCCTTGATCAATCATCTTATGATGACCCGTTACGAGTTCAAGAATCAGTATCCCGAATCCGAAAACATCCGTCTTCTCCGAGGATTGTCCAGTAGAGAGATACTCAGGAGCAATGTGTCCAATGGTTCCACGAACCGCAGTGGTGACATGTGAGTCTCTCTGGTCTAAAAGCTTTGCAAGACCAAAATCGCCAACAATTGCTTCAAAGCTCTCATCAAGAAGTATATTAGCAGCTTTAACGTCTCTGTGAATAATCTTCGGATTGCATTGCTCGTGCAAGTAAACAAGTCCTCTAGCTGCTCCGAGCGCAATGCATATCCTTCGGTTCCAATCTAGTGACGGCTTCTCTCCATAACTATCTGAAATCAAATCCATAAAGATCAGTACTTTAACAACGAAATGAGAAATGTTATAAGTGAAGAACCAACCTCTGAGACGATCAGCGACGCTTCCATTTGGCATGTATGGATACACGAGCATTCTCTCTTCTGGTGTCATACAGAAACCAAAGAGACGTAAAAGATTACGATGAACAGCTAAACCGATCATCTCGACTTCGGTTTGAAACTGAACTTCTCCTGTAAAGTTTGGATCTTTCAGTCTTTTAACCGCCACAACGGTTCCATTTGGGAGATACCCTTTGTAAACCATCCCGAATCCTCCTTGTCCAAGAATGTTCTTTGGACTGAAATTGCTTGTTGCGGTTTGTATCTCGCGAAAGCTGAACCTTTTTAGATGCCCGATTTCAAATTCGTAGTCTTGTTGCACTAAAAAATGCATAAAAAATGTCAACATTTAGAGAGGGAAAATTTTATATTTTGAGAGACTACGAAATGTGTACCGTATGATCTTGATCGATGCCAGAGCAACCAGAAGAAGAGAAACAAAAGAGAGACGATGAAGGCAACAACAATGCCAAATGCAAAAGATAGCATTAAGCTGTGATGTTTGCTATTATCCTTATCAGCCAAACCTGGTGCTGCATGTCAAATAGATCAAAAGTTAAAACCTTTTTCATGATTTTCTGTTACAGAAAGTTGAGAATTTACGAGGCAACATACAATTTCTCAAAGGTGTAGCATCTGAGCAAAGCTCTTGGGAAGCAGAGCCACAAAGGAATACATTTCCTACAATCCTATAACAGAAAAGTTCATCAAGAAGCTTCTCACATACATTATAAAGTGCGCTTTTTGCGTATATTACCTGTAGTCTTTTGCTAATATACTCGGAGTTGGTCCGCTTAGATTGTTGAACGATAGATCCCTATTTCACAAGAACAAATAGTCTAAGAAACATTGTAAGAAAACAGTAAATCGATAAACTGTAATGTGAGGGTAGAGCAAAGACATACAAGAAAGAAAGACCTGAGAGGCCAGCAACAAGGTGAGGTATTTGCCCTGATAGAAGATTCCTGCTAAGGCGCCTATAAAGCTTAACTTGTAAGATGATAACAATTAACAACATTAACCAAATCAAGAATCATTATTAACATTACTCACAAGTAGTTTAAGTGAGTCAAGAACCCTAAAGAAGCTGGGATTTCTCCACTAAACCGGTTTCCGGAGAGATCAAGTGTTTTTAGCTCAGAAAGTTGACCTAACTCGGAAGGAATCGGACCGGTTAACTGATTATTCTGCAGTAACCTACAAAACCATAATAAAGTAAGCTATTTGATACAACAACGCATTCTTGTTTTTATAATATTGTAACACAATTCTTTGTGTTTTTTTAACTCACAATGTATGAAGATGAGTTAGTTCCCCAATATTAGTTGATATTGTCCCTGATAATCCTTTACTAGCCATCTCTCTGCATTAGAGATTTCAATAAAACAATTCAAGTTGCAGAAATATACACTTCTGAGAGACATTTGGTCGAACATGTGGTGTGAGATGAACACTTACAGGGAGACGACAAACCCTTCAGAGGAGCAACCAACCATGTTCCAAGTACAAGGATCAACAGAGTTTATATCCCAACCAGACAAAACCTCTGTTTCATCTTTCATCTTGTTCTTCAATGACATCAACGCAGCAACTTCAAGAAAAAAAACAAAAGTTTAAAAGCTTTTTTTAACAAAAAAGATTTTGATTTTGTAATACTGAGGAAAAAGTACCTTCATAGTTAACACCTTTTGGAGATAAGAGACTGTCTATGGCGAAAACAGAATCAAGAACAGAGTAATAAACCAAGAATCCTAAAAACGTAAACTTTATCACAGTCTCCATTCGGAAGTTTTAAGAAAAAGAACGAGTTTTTTTTCTTTTGTTTTTCTAATGTTATCGTTTTCCCGCAATAATTTATCTGCCCCTTCGTCTAGGGCAAATCAATAACGCCATTAAAGAACATTATAGATAACATTTTAAAAATACTTGATTCATTAAATTATTTGGTGGTCCGGTAGGATTTTGATCTATGAGTTGATTCAGAGGAAGAAGAAGACAAAAATAAAATGAAGATGTAGCTATGGAAGCGGGAAAATCCTCGAAATTGTCAAACTTGTGTTCCCTTGTCTCTCTGCTCTTAGAAGACTTTTTATTTTTTTCAGTCTGACTTTGATAGTGAGTGAGATTAGATCCTCTGTAATCATCCCTAGGATAACAAATGCAAAGACTAATGAATGTGAATACATCAAAATTACAAAAACTTTGTATAATCACCTAAAATCATCTAAAAGTGAAATCACCTTAAATCATGTAAAACCTTTAGTTCTATTGTCTTTGTCAATAATATGTTGGATTTGAATTCAGGTAGTGATGACACCAACACAAACCCCTAGACTTCATATACCAAATCAAATAAAAACATACAGATTATCATTTACATATTGAAGTTTTTGTTCTTTACTTATATCAATTTACATATCACATTCTGCTTACAAAAAACCAGGACTGAAGTTGTCTTTTGCTCCAATGAAAGTTCGGTTATTTAGTTTTGGTTCAATGGCTACTGGTTTAGTTCGGTTATTTATTTTTGGTTAACGAACGAATTGACAAACTCACAAAAGTTAAAAGCTTGAAACACAAGCCCAATGAGTCCGGGACGAGTCTCTTATGAATCCTTCTCAATCTCTCTCTCAGATTCCTCCTAAGAAATTGTTTCCGATGTTGTAACTTACGAAACCCAGTTATGGAATCGCCGTTCGTGACGAAATCGGACCGAAATCTTAATTTTTGGAAATCCGCCTTGGAGAAATGGTAATGGGTTAGTGTTTCTTCTTCCTTGCAGTATGAATTCTCTGAGAGCTTTGAGAAACAGTAGCATTAGAGAAGCTTTAAACCCAACAAAGGTATCATCTTTGTGTCCCCTTTACTCTTACAATCAGAGGAGATGGCTAAAGCCTGTAGATTCAGCGCAGACTAGGTTAGAGAATCGAACGAGAGACAATCGATTAGACAAACTCGTCGCTCAGATTAGGAAAGTAAACATCGTTCTCGAGATCTCGAAGCTCATGTCTCGCAAAAAGCGTGGACCTTTCGTGTCTCTGCAGTTGCTATCTCGGTGGAAGAATCTCGTCGGTTTGAATAACGTAAGCACCGGAGCTTTCGTGGGTAAGTATCCTCACGCTTTCGAGATCTTCACTCATCCTTGTAGGAGGAATCTCTGTTGTAAGGTCACTGAGAAGTTGAAAGAATTGATTTTTGAGGAAGAGAATGTGATCAGAGAGTGTGAATTGGATGCTGTGAGGAGGATCAAGAAGCTCTTGTTGTTGTCAAGAAACGGTGTGATTCGTGTTCATGCTTTGAGGTTGATTAGAAAGGAATTAGGATTGCCTGAGGATTTTCGAGATTCGGTTTTAGCTAAGTACACTTCAGATTTCAGGTTAGTTGATTTGGAGACATTGGAGTTAGTTAGTGGAGATGGTGATGGTGATGATGAGAGTTTGTGTGTGGCAAAAGTGGAAGAGTGGAGAGAAGTTGAGTACAGAGAGAAATGGTTGAGTGAGTTCGAGACGAAGTACGCGTTTCCGATCAATCTTCCGACGGGGTTCAAGATCGAGAGAGGGTTTAGAGAAGAGTTAAAGAACTGGCAGAGGATTGCTTATGTGAAGCCTTACGAGAGAAAGGAGATTTCTCGAGGGCTAGAGAGGTTTGAGAAGCGGGTTGTTGCGGTTGTCCACGAGCTTCTGAGCTTGACGGTTGAGAAAATGGTTGAGGTTGAGAGATTGGCTCATTTTCGAAAGGATCTTGGCATCGAAGTGAATGTGAGGGAGGTTTTGTTGAAGCATCCGGGGATTTTCTACGTGTCGACGAAGGGAAGTACACAGACTTTGTTTCTTAGAGAAGCTTATAGCAAAGGATGTTTGATTGAGACGAATCCGGTATATGATGTTCGGAGGAAAATGATGGATCTTGTGTTGTTGAAGAACCGTCATTCTAGAGAGCTGTTGTTAGAAACTCGGGAATTGGAGAGACATGTTGTGGTTCGGTTTGATGAAGATTGGGAAGGGGAGAGAGATGGAGATTGGGTTTTGCCAATTCTTGAGAAAACAGATTGATGAATGATTCATCTGTCAAGAACAATAATGTGCAAAAGTCTCATTTTAATGTATGAAATGAGATTGAAGTTGTTTGTGAAATAGATGGTCTTATCTCATATTGCTGCACATTTGATGTTGTTTTGTGGTCATTATGTGCAAGTGAAAGAAATTGTAGCAAACAAGTAACAGTTCAGTAAAATAAACAATGATAATTACTTCTGTTTTCCTCATAATCATCAACACTAAAGGTTTTTAAAACCCAAAAGGCCCATTAAACTAGAAAAACAGTATTAATGTGGGCTCATACTTTTAAATGCCCAATCGTATCTCATAATACAATCTTGAAAATCACAACAGAATGTCATGTGTGATAGAAAAAGCCTCTAAACCTTTTGAACATTTTACTTGGTAAATTGAAATCCCAAAAGTGTGCTGTAAATAAATATTACAAAATGCTTTAAAATTAGTGTTTCTTTTCTCGTTTACAGAACTATAATATGATGATATATGATACCTATATACAGTAACACTCAAAGAATGATATGATGTGCAAGTTAATTGTTATTCCAATTTCCAAATCTGTGCTGTGAGTCTGTGACTATTAAAGGTAAAATAACCAAGTAAAACTAAAAAGGGAATAACAGTTAAAGAAAAAATGACAAATTTAACCAAACAAAAGTAAAAGTGAAAAAGAGAAGGCAAGAAGGGAATGAAAGGATGTGAAGACGTGACGGCTTAAGTACTTTGGTTCATCTCTTTTGGAGAATCTTCATCGAAATATGATAAGAAAAAACAAAAGATTAGTTAATAGAAAGAAAAGTTTGAAAGCGGAATAAAGTGGAATACATAACAAAACAAAGAGAAAACAAGGAAAATTGTGGAACAGATAAAACAAAATGAAGGCAGCCAAAAGTCTTTTGCCTAGAGGCATAAATTTCATATGACTATAACATTTCTTCTTGCCAAAAAATATATATTTGTAATGTTTAACTTCATGGTTTATATTATCCGAATTTAGTATTTGTATAAATAAAAGGTAGACATCAAAAAACAAACACAAAAACAAATAAGCTCAACAGCTTCTCATGACCATTATCTATATCTTACCAATACTTTTCCACCTTACCCACTTTGTTTTGTCTCCCTTGTCTAACATTTTGTTCCTCTATATTATTCTATCACGATGGTGGAGTAGTACGGCTCAAGAGAAAAGAAAAAATTCAATTCAATAAGAAGAATGTTTGGGCAAATCGTTAATCTCCATTTATATATTTTTGTAAATTTTAGCCATGCATTGAATACAAAATTAAGATACTTCTATAGATAAATTTATCGACAACTATTACGAATTTTCTATGGATTTTGTACATGATTTTTAATATCTAGATCGAAAACTATTATTATAAACTTATAATTTGCATTCAAGAAGAAAGCCCCTTGCGCTAATTATGTCTTCCTTTTCAGCCAAAAACATGTTTGAAGTCTCTAAATATTATTCGCAAACAAAAGGAACTATAATTTTGGCTATAGAAAAAAAAAATAGCATTAGTAATTACTAATTAGCACCATTTTAAAATTTTCAATTGTCGTAATTTCTTGAGTAAAAAGTATGCTTTCTTCTCTACAAATGATACCAACAAAACGTTTTAAAAATATTAACGTAAATTTGTATACAAAGAGAAATTTCAATTTCAATTTCTTTCCTGTAATTTTAAAACAATACATTGTCAAAACGCATTTATATCACAGATTCACACAACATAAGTCGTCCATAACAACACACCCTAATCTAACTCAACGAGAAACCGTACGAATATCTTTAAGAAGACCCAAGACTTGTTGCATCGTTGGTCGTTTTCCCGGCGTCTCCGCCGTGCAAAAATAACCAATTCTAAGACTCTCAACCATCTCACTAACCGATTCTTCAACCGCTAACCGCAACCTCGAATCAAGAGCTTCCTCTCCTCTCCTCTCCTTAACCAACCGTCGAACCGATTTCACATTCTCATCATTCCCTTGCTTACCGGTTAATAGCTCAAACAAAATCACCCCGAAACAATACACATCGTATTCTACATTGTTGTTACTAGTATCATCATCGCCGGTTTTTGCTATGTTGTTGATACCGAAGTCCGAGATTCGCGGCTCTAGGGTTTCGGTTAGGAGGATGTTGGTAGCGACTAAGTGCCCATGAGTGGTACCAACATGATGTAGATAGGCTAAACCACGTGCAACTCCGATGGCGATACGGTGACGTATTAGCCAGTTTGTTTTTTCCGGTGACGAATCGCCGACGTGACTCTCCCATGTATCAGCACTCCAATCTTCTACGTTGGTTTCTCCCGCCGGGAGCTCGTGAAGCCATCGGTGAAGGTCTCCGTTAGCCATGAATTCATATAATACAAGCTTCTCTTTTCCTATAACAACAAATCACAATTATTAATTTGTAACACTCTCTTTTTAAAAAAAGAAACGAAACTTAATTTTCAAAAACTAAAGCCGTAACTCATTATAATTTTTAAACTCAGTATATTATTTTGGTACTTTTAAGAGTTAAAAATTAACAGAAAAGAAGTAGAGAAATTTTAAGAAATACACCTCTTGAGGTGATAATTTTCAAAAATACACATATAGTGTGATAATTTTCAAAAATACATATTTTCCTAATTTTAATATATATATATATATATATATTTATTTATTTGGGTTCACTAATCCTAGATTAGAGCTTAAGTTTTGGGGTTTAGGATTTAGATTTAAAGGTTCAATGTTATATTTTGGGGTTTTGAATTTATGTTTTAGGATTTAGAATTATTTTACTCAATGAAAAAAAAATGTAGTTTTGAAAATGAACATCTCAAGAGATGTAGTTTTGAAATTTCCCCGAAGAAGTAGTAATATTTTAATAAACAATTTACCAGTTAATATAGATATATTCAGCTTAAGCTGAATATGAAAAAACTAATGTCTGAAACCTATTCACACCTTTTTTTACGTACAAAAAAAAAATCCATACTTCTAACAACAACAAAACAAATTCATACTGAATGAGTGAAAAAATAAACTGATTTTGTTTTCCACCGATTGTCTTCTTCTATTCGACCCAGTAACATTCATCTCTATTTATAATATTCCTCTCAATTCCACCACTTGGACCCTAATAAATAAATAAATATATTCATATCTATAAAGAAGGGAATATGCAAGTATTTATCTGTGATATCGATTCATGTTAGATTCCTCTGAGTTCTACCATTTGGACTCTAAAACAACGATGAATGTAAAACTGTTACAAAGCTAACTAATGCTTACTTAATAATAGTAGTGAACTTGATTAATAAAACTTGGTAAATTAGATCAGAAAATAAATATTAGCATTCCTAAAAGAAAAAATGATTGTTGAAAACCGTATAAATCTCTACGAGTCCCAAAGAAAAGGATGTGACTTGTCTGCACACATTATAAAGTCGTCTCAGTCCACTCATAAAAACACCAGATGATAAACCCTAAAAATAAGTCAAGAATCTATCACACACACATTACTTTATCTCTCTGAGAAACTTTTTGGAATGATTATACATTTTTACGTTAAGGTCACGAAAATTCATAAAACTTGTAATCATGGCACAAAAAAACAATTAGATTTTCTTTACGTGACATATCATCATCACGCAACTGACTCTTTTCGTCTGTACTACAGTGGCATACTCCTAATGAATACGACACCGTTCAGCATTTAATGCCTCATTAATGATTTATCCAAAAACCCGTGAAAGTAGAGACAAAACTTCACTAAATGACGTCTACGCCTCGATATTTTTAATTTTTTTATTATTTAAATTCCAAACCCCAGAAAAATAAACTAATAGTCAAAATCCTAATTGTAATCAGTATTTTGGTTATAAATTAGCTTATTCAACTGTTAATCAACAAGAAAAGGATATAAAAATAGACAATTATTATAAAAAAAAATTAAATAAGATGATTACTGTTTTTGAAGAACAAAAGTCAGTTTTTTCTAGAGAAATTTTAAGAAATACATCTTTTGAAGAAGGCAAATTTTCAAAACACTAGAGGTGTATTTTAAAAAAAAAAATTGGCACTTCAATAGTTTTGAAATTTCCCCCCTTTTCTATAATTTTGCGTCAAAAATATAGTTTTCCACATAAAAAATGGTCAGCTTTTTAGGGTTAATACTTTGTTTAGTAACGTGGTTAGAGAAAAGAAAATACTTTAGATTACACAGTATACAACAAAATAAATTTATTTACTAAATTTGCTACATGGTCGAAGTAGGCCTGACACAATTAGCCTGTGATAAATTTCCCATCAACTAATCTGCTAAAAGCGTAGACTCGGCCTTAGGGTTTTGTAAGTCAATTTCAAAACTATAGGTTAAAAATTTATATTTATTTTATATAACCTATACGAAAAATTTACACATCGGGAAAGATTAGTAAAGTACCTGCGATGCAGTAACCGGAGAGAGTCAAAAGGTTTGGATGTTTAAGCCGAGTGAGAGCTTCAAACGCCGTAACGGCGTCGTTTTCGTCGACGTCTCTGATCCTTTCAAGCACTTTGATTGCCACGTGGAGATCACCTGGTAGAACGGCACGGTAAAGTGGACCACACGTGCCGTCAGATATAACGGACTCCGTTCCGAAGTGTGACGTGGCAACAATGAGATCCTTGAACGTCAGATTCATCAACGGCTTAGACGCCATCACAACCGGAGCCGCCGTCGGCTCTTTTATGTCCGCGACCCACGACGAACCAGACTCCGTTCCGAAGGCGAACGGTCCAGATTTTTCCATCTTGAAATCCAACGGTGCAGGACTCGAAATCGCCCATCTCGATTTCATCCTCGCCGATTTCAATCTACGACGGATTAGAATCACAGCCACGACGAAGACTAGAATAACCAAAGCTCCTAACGAAGACGACAAGGCAATCACCAGAGGCGTGTGCTTACGACGATGCGTTTTGACGATTCGATTACGTGGCGGCAGATTCCGGTGAGGGAGAGGTTGGAGATGGTGGCGAGTAGGGATTTTAGAATCGTTGAAGACGAAATCGCCGCCGTGTAAAAACGCCGATTTTCCGAATTTCCGGTATTTGTCGTATCCAACCGAACCGGAAAAACGGTTTCTTGATAAATTCAAAAACCGGAGATGGTTGAGATTCGGAAAATCGACCGGGAACGAACCGTTCAACGAGTTTTCCGATAAATCCAAGTAACTCAACGACTTTAAACCGGAAATCGATTTAACACTGCCATTGATTTTACATCTCGAGATATCGAGATGGTGTAAACCGGAGAGAGATCCCAAACCAATAGGCAAAACACCGAGATGGTTACGAGAGAGATCGAGAGCTGTGAGGTTAACGAATCCGGTTAAGTTAACCGCGTTTGTAAACCGATTGAACGAGAGATTCAGCTCCTTAACCGAAGAAATCGAACCATTAACTGGAATTACTCGTATAGAGCCACCAAACCGGTTCCGGGAAAGATTAACGGAGACAAGACCGGGTTTAGACCAGAGCCAAGTGGGGATGGAACCGTCGAGAGAGTTGTTGGAGAGATCGAGGACACGTAAGCGCGTGAGATTCCGCAACGGGTTCCATGAAAGAGTGCCGTTTAGGTTTTTTGACGGAAGAACGACGTGAGTGACGACGGCGGAGCAGTTAGAGAACCAGGAGGAGTTGAAACCGGAGACGTAACGGAAAACTTTGGCTAATTGGTGGAAGTCTGTGCCGTTAGGACAAGAAACGGTGGAAGAGTGTGAGAGAGAGACTAGGGTTAAGAGGAGAAACAACCGTAGAAACATATTTTCTTAGATTTCTTTTACGCTGTTAGTGATTGTTCTTCCATGGATATAGAAATGGTGGAGAGAGAGAGAGAGAGTTTAGTAGTCCTTGTAGCTGAAAGGAGCTGGTGAGGTTTATCAGAAAAGAGAGAGAGGAAGATACATACGGTTGATAAAATGCCAACGGTGACGTGGACTATGTGGACTATGACGGAAAAATAAAAGTCAATTTAAAATAAATAAAGGATTTTTACAACAACAAAAATTTCTAAATGATTCTTTTACGTGTTGTGAGGGGCAACATCTAAAAACTGCCATTTTAGAAGATTATTTTGTATGAAGATCCTCAAATAAAAATGTGTTGTGCGGTTTTGTGGTCTTACTACAATATACAGTATATGCAACTGAACTAAATAATACAGTATGAGTTAACTAGATAAGCTTTTCTGAGAAATTTTAATACAAAAGTAAATTGAACTATTTTACTTCTCGATTACGGATTTTGTAATCATGTGTTTATTACCATCATTATCTTTATAAGGTACTTCTTCTCTTCCTTTTTCTTTTTTAAATTGTGAAAGTTATGCTAAATTTTTTCAAATAAATAAACAAATTGAATTATTTGAACCAGATAATTTACTTTAGTGGTAAACTGAAACTATTTTCATAAGAAAAAACCTTGATACAGTAGAACCTCTATAAAACAATACTCGATAAAACAATAAACACTATAAGATAATAATTTTCTCCGGTCCCAACTCGGGCCAATGTAAAAAATAGCATAATGCGATAAGATGATAAGACAATAATATTTTTGAAACTCCTATGTAAAAATATAGTCCCAACAATAAGCTAAGATAATAATTATAAAACTAAGGCATATATATCTAAGACAATTTAGTAAAATATGACTCCAATGTAGTTTGTCTTTTCTGAAAGTTGGATTCCCGTTGGAGCTCATCTCGAATTTTTCTTATTGCATCTACAATTTCTGGTGGTGTATTCTCAACATGCAGCCAAAAGTTGTGAAGAGTTCTCGAAGCCACAATTGCTTAACTACTTGCACATGTCCTTCCTCATCATCTTCAACTTCATCTTCACCATTAAGAACAGTAGACATAATTTCTTATAGATTTTGAACTTCTGAGCATGAAATATGTAAATAACAAAGTATAAGGAAAATTTGAATAAAAAAGTGAAAAAATATATTTCTATAAAGTTTCTTGTTTTTGATAGAATATTTCTATAAAATAATAATTATTGTTTTATCGATAAAATAATAACTCTATAAGATAATAAAATTTCAAAGTCCCAACATTATTGTTTTATAGAGGTTTTAATGTATATGATTTTAAATTGTATAGAATCAAATTAGCGAGTCTAGTTTTAGTGATTCAGAATTTCAGATAATCGACAACTGTCTTCAGAAACTTTAGTTTACCTTTCACTTTTTCAAAAGAAAAGAGAGGCAAAAAAGATGAACCTCGTAAAGATAATGATGATAAGTACATGATTGGTATCCTATAAATCAAAAGATACATAATGGATTCACTTTTTGTGCTCTTTTATTAAGCAGGGACAAATCTGTATACCTCAAAAAAGATGATCTCAGATTAATGATCACTCTTACTAATTTTCCATCACTTTGAACTTTGAAAATGACAATCGGTGCACTTTGACGTTATGTTGATTGGAGTGGAATTCGATTTGAGACTAGTAATTTTTCATTTCATAAAAGAAGCGTGTTATACATTTAAATCACGTCGAAAATAAAAGAGAAAATAATTAGTATATTAAATCAAACGAAGACTTACTTTTGAGATGAAAACAAGTACACACTGAATCACACAATATGGTTTACTGTTTACCACACAAAAAATATATCGATAAGTGATACTTGTATTTTTGTAACTAATTAAATATGATTGCATGTAATACACATAAACATTAATTGAATATATTTAATTTACATGCGTGCCAAAAATGGCATAGTTGTAACATTACGATATAAACTAAATAGGAGTAGTATTTTAGTTTGCAGTATTAGCTCTGTGCATTGTTTTGTTTTTATGGGTTTGGAAACTCAAGTGAAGTAAGCAAAGGGGTATGGTTTGGTGCCATGACTTTGTGTGGTTGTTGATGGCTTGATGCTGAGAAATAGAAACGTGGACCCAATCTTTAACAAATTCATTAAATTATACAATTTCATCCGATGTTGTATCCTAGGTGTAATTTATGTATTCTATAAACCTTGTAATTAGTACGATAAAATCGTCTTTTGAGAATTTACTACTACTAGTATCTTCTGTTCGAATTGTAATAAATGCTTATATTTATTACTATCGGTTATTTGTTGATGGGGTTTGGTTGAAACTTGAAAGTAAATAATGGTGTAGTAGTTGACATCAAAAATAAAGTAAAAAATAACAGTGTACTTTTTGAATAGTGTACAAAGTTTCTTCGAGTAGTGTGTGGTGTTTGATCTATTTTTCCGGTTATTGAGTACCAAAATCTACATGTATCTTAGGGCTAACTGTTTTCAAATTAACTACATAAAGTTTGATTATATTGTAAATTGCGTCGTGTGATATATGCTATATCGCTGTCCAAGACATTCCCATGAGAAACCACACATAATCAAGTCGCTGCGTTGAATTATATGAATTTAATATTAGTTTTACTATTTTGAAAATTTCAATGTTGTTATAGTATTTGATTATAACATGTTCGTCAGACGTATACATATACATAAGACTCAGAAAAAGATGTTATACAACATAATCCGATGCAACCTCCTTTGTTCCATATAGAACCATAAACTATGGTCTTTTCTCCGGCGGACATTTCTTCTTAAAAGCATATAAAATTTGCAAACGAACTAAATTAGTAATAAACAAAGAAGAAGGAGATCGAGAAATTCCAGACAAATCCACTAAATCCCAAGACAAAAAGATCCATAGAATGCCAACTAATATTCCACAAAGTATCTAACATATTCACATTCTCCTTGAGCAACTCAACCTAAAAGTTAATCCACATTCTTTATTTTATCATTTTATCCCTTAAACCACTCACCCCAACATGGTTGGTCCATGTGCTTATAAGTGTCCGATCTTGTTTTAATTTAATTGGTTATTCTATCCAATACCACAATTAATTTGACTAAGTAGAACATATAAGTTATTATATGTCTTAGTGTTGTTACTGTCTTTCTATAATCTAAATTAAAACCTAATTGTATGTGTATAAAATTGTAGACGATTTTAACTAATTTATGAAGTCTCCATGCTATTTCGATTATCATCCTCAGCTTAAACAATAAGGTTAAAATTGCAAGTTCTTTTAGATAACTAAACTCTTCTGCTGTTCTGCACTATCAATCAGTTCTTCTCTCCATTTTGTTGAAACTTCATTGGATTACCCATCGAGCTACTCTCTCAGTTATCCTGCATCGGATGATCAATTTTCTGTATATAAAAACATTCACAAAGGGATTTTAGTAGACAAGATATTTTAGACAAATTTGTAGGCCCAATTGTTTCATTATTGGACTTTATGGACCCATTTTAAAGAAAGTAAAATCCAGCCCAATTGACTGGTCCATGATTAATGCATTTACCTCTTTGAAAACGTCCCTTGTTCCAGATCACAAAAGAAATATTACCTCTTTCAAAACGTACTGTAATCACTATTACCTCTTTGAAAGCTTAAGGTAATCATTATTACCTCTTTGAAGGTAGTGAAAAGTCTGTGTGTGCGATGAAAGAAGATGAAAATATTTGGTTACTTTTGTTTTTTTTTGTTGAATAGAAAGCTGCTCTCCACATTCTTTTGTTGAATAGAAAGCATCCTTTTGGGATCAGGGACAAGCTTAGGGACGTTTTCAAAGAGGTAATAGTGATTACCTTAAACTCCTCTTGTGTTCTGTAATCAGGGACTTTTCAAAGAGCTAATTTTCCAAATAAGATTAGCTCAAGGCGGACAAGCGCAGGGCACGCTTCAGAGAGGTAATTAAGATTACCTCAAGACACTCTTTTTGCCTTTTTGCATGGCATTAGGGACAAGCTAAATTTCGTTAAGCTCAGGGACGCTTCAAAGAGGTAAGGTAATTAAGACTACCTCGAGACACTACGTGTATATTAGCAAGTCTTATATTTGTAGTGATGAGAGGATCAGATGTACCTTACGGGTATATTAGCTCATGATAGATATTTGGGCATGTGAATCCGCTGGAAATAAAATTTGGTTTTGGTTAGATGGTCCAAGATTAGGGAATACAAAGGTGAGTACAAAATCCATATGATAAAAAATTCATAAAATTATGGTTAGCACCTCTCTGATTAGGATATAAGTGCCAGACATAAGTGCCAGACAGTTCCAAAAACTTAAGCACTAAACAATGTTACATGTGTTTTCATACGGACTTGCAGAATATGGGTTATTGCAATTTGCGAATCAAGTTTGTAAGAATTTGAACATGAGGAGAGTAACTTAAGATGGACTTTCTGTTGAAGGTATGCTGCAGAAGCAAACTAACAATGTTGTGTTCAGAGAAATTTTAAAGAATGTTAATCACTTTCTGTTCTCACCCTTTTAGCTATTGTAGTTTCTGACATTTTTCATATGTTTGGATGTTTTTGGAATAAAGTTGTTTGCATTTTAAAAGTTATTTCAAACTTCAATATTTCCAAAGTTATTACCAACAATGAAAAATAAATCAATAGTCGCCCACTTTGTGATCTCTAATTGCTAATGAGTAGACAACATTACTCATTGGCTAACACAAACCAATTCAAAGACCCATTCATACAAAGTTCTCCATAAATAACTCTATGAAAACTAATTTTTGAAAGTTAAATGGAGAAAGTTATATGATTTATAAACTGTATACTCTCGTTTTTCAAAACTAACCTCTTCAATATATTATTAAATGGAGAAAGTTATAATGATTTATCTACCAAAAAAAAACGAGAGTATACAATATGTCTATTCTTAAATTTTTGCATCTCCCACGTCACACTATTGACTTTTGGGGTGTCTATTTTCTTTTAGTAGGGTTCGATATAAAATTTATGTGGACAAGTTGGGTTGGGTCGATAAATAACGATATATGTTGTATGTTGGTCACTCTTTATCATGGAAATATGAAGCTACTTGTCATTGATTATATTTTGTTAAATTGTCTTTTACATGTATATTTATTTATGATAGCTCCACAAGATTGGAGGGAAAGAGAGTGTAAAGACAAATTTTTATAAGTTGTATGTTGATCAGTCTTTATCATGGAAATATGAAGCTACTTGTAAATTAAATATATTTTGTTGAATTTTTTTTACATGTATTTTTATGCTAGCTGCACAAGATTGGAGAGACAAAGAGTGTGGAGAAACACTTTTATAAGTTCTACGTTGGTCACTCTTTATCATGGAAATATGAACCTAGTTGTAATAAATTAGATCTTGTTGAATTGTTTTACATGTATATTTATGCTAGCTCCATAAGATTGGAGAGCAAAGAGTGTTAAGAATTATACAACTCGTGGACATAGTAAAAAATGCCTATTATTTCCCGGAACTATAGAGTAATGCCGAGATGCATTGTTTCTGATCCAGCTCAACCTCACAACGTCTCCCGTCGTGCTTACCAAAAAATTAAGCACAACTGCTTTGCGTGCAAGAATGACGAAGCTCATTGGGTGGCAGATAGATATGATGACTTACGTTTCTACTGTACCACATGCGATCTGGAGTTCCACGATCTATGTCTTCAGTTTCCAAGTAAGATGATTCACCCTTATCACCCTCAACACCCTCTCACTTTCACCTTTCTAAACTACGAAACTGGGATCATGGCCGACACCACTTACCGTGAATTCTATAAAGTTCTAAGTTGTTTTGAACTGGATTTTCTGAATACCTCAAAAGCTATTGGCCAAAATCCAATATTATGTTTGATAAATGCACTTGGTGTCGGAATGATCTGGCGAATGGTTCTATCGTTGTTCTATATGTAACTTTTCCTTGGATTTCCACTGCGCCACAAATATTCCACCTCTTACAATCCAAAATCCAAAAAGCCATCACCATTCACTACCTTGTTTCCTCGACCCACTCTTATTTCCTTGTGATGCTTGCGGGTTGATCAACGTCTTGGAACCAAGTTATGCATGTTACCGATGCAGTTACGTGGTTCACAAGACTTGTATTGATTTACCCCGAGTTATAAAGATCACGCGTCACCCTCATCGACTATCCCACTCCTTATCTTCCTACCAAAGTTTCCTCTTGCCGGGTTTGTTACAAGAATGTGGACATCAAGTATGGTCAATATTCTTGCAACCATGAGGATTGCTCTTATGTAGTCCATTCAAAATGTGCAACCCATGAAAAATATGGGATGGGAGAGACCTCGAATGGGAGCCAGAAGAATCCACACAACTGAAGATGTAGCACCATTCAAGAAAGTAGGTGGTGATTTGATTGAGCATTTTTGTCATAACCATCATTTCTAAGGCTCGAGAAATCGATGTCGAGACTCAGAAAAGCAATGCGATGGCATGTATCCGTCCAATTAGGTCTGATGATTTCTACAATTGTATCGAATGTGATTCTTACTCCACGAGGTATGTGCTAATCTTCCACGGAAACTTGATCATGCGTTGCATAAGCACCCTCTTTTCCTAGACCCGTATCCTGTATACGTATATAAAAACGATGACTTAAAGTGTTCAGCTTGTTTTCGATGTCGTCGAGTGGTTTCAAGTACAAATGCAGAGAAATGGATGTAACGATGAGTCCATTTCAGCTGGATATTAACTGCATTTTAGTTCCCTGAGTGTTTCACCCATAAAAGTCATGCAGAACATCCTTTATTCATCTCATTATCCTACAACAACAGCGATGAAATTCTCTGCCAAGGTTGCAAGGGGAGTATTCGCGGGTATCATCTACATTGTACTCTATGCGAATTTGCGATATGCTACAAATGTGCCACAATTCCAGATGAGATATACCACAAATATGATGAGCATCCTCTCTCCCTTTGTTATGGGAAAAGTGGTGTGGAGGATGAGGTGTGGTGGTGCGAAGTATGTGAGAAAAGATTAGATCCAACGGAATGGTTCTACACAACACAGATCAACGTTGCACCACAATCCACCATGAGTGTTTATTCGGAGAATATGTTTATATGAAGACTGGTCACACATTCAATTACTACCATCATAAGGTGGAAGTTATTGGCAATTGTAGTAGTTCTCGTCCCATATGTCCTAATTGTCACCACCGTAGCTCAGCTCCCGTATATTTTAAAGTCTATATGCTGGATGGATATGCAACTGATGGTTGTTGTTCTTTTTATTGTATTAGACAAGGAACTTTCGATATGTAGTTGGTCGTTTTTTTTGGGTCAACGATTTGCTTGTCTTTTCATTTTGTTTTGTAAGATCACACATCTTGAAGTATGAGTTTCTCTAGTTTTCTGTTTCAGTTTCAAATTTTTGAACATTATAAAAACCAAATAAAATTATTCGATTCATTAAGATATAAAAATTTGCGTGATCCAAAAGTTAGAGAATACAAAAAGGCATGTTTGTTTCTGAACAGCCTTGCTCCTGAGGTTTAATTTTTGTATTCCGCCACGTAACTGAGGAATAAATTTCTTATGATTTTGATATTTTCTCTGTTTAGAGTTTCAGTTTCAAAGCATCTTTATCTTTTATCTTTATATTTTTATATTATTAATTGAGAAGTACATTCTAAAAAAAATAACATTGAAAAGTACATTCTAATGTTTAGATATAAGAATAACATTGAAAAACTGTTTGGATATAAGAATAAAAGAAAAAATTGTTTGGATACAAGAATAATAACTTAAAACAAACAGATGGTTCAGAAAAAACAAAAATCGACCCCTGCATAATAATTTAAAACAAACAGAAATATGGTTTAGTCAAACAAGAAATCAAATATGTTAATTGATTGGTTCACATATTTCTTCATAACGTTATGGGTAATCGGGTCGGATTTGGATAGATACTTCGGGTCTGAGTCTATCGGGTAGTTAGTTTTTATAGCCATATAGTACCAAATGAATTTGGGTTTGATATCGGTCAGGTTCATTCAGGTTCAAACTGAAAATTAAATACTCTATAATACCTATTCTGTTAATTAATCGGGTTGGATACCAAAACTAAACTGAGAATATAAATATATATAACCCCGCGCTATTATAGCGCGGACAGACTAACTACTAGTTATATTATTAATTTAGAAGTACATTGTAATATTTAGATATAAAAATAATAAAAAACTGTTTGGATACAAAAATAGTAAAGAAAAATTGTTTAAATACAAAAATAATAACTTAAAACAAACCAATGGTTTAGAATACAAAAAACCCAACCCAAATTGATTGGATAATGGATGCGGATCATCTAAAATAACTTAAAACAAATTGAAGCATGGTTGTATCAAACCAGAATGAATATGTTAATTGTTCAGTTCACATATTCTCATAGGCTTGCGGGTGGATTGGGTTTAAATAGATACCGATCGAGTAATTCGTGTTTATCGAATAGTTGGTCTCTGTATCTAATACAGAATTTGGGTTCGGTATCAAATCGGGTCCATTTAAATTCGGGTATATTCGAATTAGATACCAAAACAAAACTAAAAAACCATAACTCGAGTAGGATACTATTGATAAAGTAAAACCATTAGCTATCCGATTTTTTTAATATATAAAAGTCTGCGTGCTCAGAACCGTGCCACAATGTAAAAAATTGAAACATTGGCTTATGGCATTTTTTTTTTCTGAAATATTTAAAGGCATATGTTTGTTAATTTTTTTTTAGTTAATCTCAAATAATAGAACTATATCATTCAAAAAATATGAGCCTACACAATAAAAGTTATGGGTTTCTAATGGCTATAGGCCTGGGCGTTCGGGTTTCGGGTCGGTTCTATTCGGATTCGGATTTTTTTGGGTTGCTAAATTTTAGACCCATTCGGACTTAGGAAAATTTTGGTTCGGTTCCTGTAGGGTTCGGGGCTAATTAAATTTTATAAACCTGTTCGGGTTTGTGAAATTTTTGGTTCTTGTTCGGTCTAATTCGAGTTTGGTTTGGGTCAGTTTTTATCGGATTTTTCTAACCAAATACTCAAAAACTTACAAAATAACCAAAACAGTATGCAAAATAATCGAAAAAACTTTTCTTTACTCCATATTCTACTAAATTGTTTTGGAATTTTCGAATATGTGGGTTACTTTGTTCTAAAAATATAACTATTATATCAGATTTGTAATTGCAATTTTAGTTATTTTTATTAGTTTAAGCCTAAATATAACTAATATTTTGGGTATATAATTATATTTTGGATATTTTCGGGTACCCATTCGGTTATCGATTCGAGTTTGGTTTTTTCGGGTATAAGAATTTTGGACCCATTGGGTATTCCGGTTCAGTTCGTTTCCTTCTATGGGTCGGGTTCGGTTCGGGTCTTCGGGTCCGGGTAAAAATGCCTAGGCCTAGGCCATATAACTAATAAACAAAATTCCAAAGTATGAAAAAGTTCTTAGCTGTTAAAGAATTATAGTAAACTAAATATAGAATTGGTTATGATTTGGCTATCTTATTTTTGCTGGAATATACGATATGAAAAAATGAATGAGTTAACTATTTTATCCATGAAAAACAGTTTATTTGGTTAACTAATATATACAATAACGATTGAATTTTTTTTATGAACTGAGACATTTTATTTTTATTTGCTTCTTATAGCGATTATGGTTGGCATGCCTCTGTGCGTGATAAACATGCAAACTTAGAAAGCATAAGTATATACTAATATACATGTTAAGGGAGCATAACAAATGAATTCATAGTACAACAAATATACTCTGGATAATGTTTGGCATTAGTTACTCGGCAGATGATAGAAAGAAACGACTGGAACAGCTCTTTTCATCTGAACCAGGGTACAGTTCTTCATTTACTGATTTCAACTGGAATCGGTCAATCATAATTGATCATGTTATCATGTTAACAGCTAACAGTCCTTTACTAGATTAATAGTAATATTTTAGATAAATGGAGAAGGTGAACCAAAAAAAAGTCGTATAATGGCGGTCTACTCAACGACCCACATATATAAATCGAAAAGTCTACTTGTGTTTGTTTGAAATCGAAGAGTTATTTATCCCCTCACGCCTATGACTTTATGAACATGAGCTGGATTTCTGTCTTATTAGGGCTCTTTAATCTAAATCAAGTATACGAGTATAGTATATTGCTTGTAACGTGGACAGTCTGGAGACAGATCTTGGGAAAATTAAAAAAATTTTTGTTACAGGTTGTGGAAAGCAGTGCATAAGAAATGCATCTTTGGGTTTGGGTCAATTCATAATAATGATATAATAAGCTGTATGTTGGTCATTGTTTACAATGTATTAAAGCTCCACAAGATTAAAGAGGCATAAGAGTGAGAGTGCACAAATATTTAGACACACATCTATGAAAGATTAAAAACCAAAGGCAGTAAAAGATAAAGATCTGGGAGGTGATGAAAGAGGGCCAAAGATGCATGGTTTCTGATCCAGGCCAACCTCACAACCTCTCCGTGGAGCCGGTTATAAGATTAAGCATGACTGCTTTTCTGCGGGGAAAACAGCGTGGTCGACGAAAACCGCTTTATCATGTAGAAAACGTAGAAGACTTGTTCACGTACAAATCTTACGTGGAGCAGATGGAGGCTATCGTTTCCATTACTACTGCACCAAATGCGATCTCGAGTTCCACAGTGAATGTTATCAGTTTCCAAGTAAGATGATTCATCCTTACCACCCTCAACACCCTCTCACTTTCACCTTTCTAAATTACGAAACTGGGATCATGGCCGACACCAGTTTCCGTGAATTCTATCACGTTCTAGTTCTTTTGAACTGGATTTGTCTGAATACCTCAAAAGTATTCGGCCAAAATCCAATATTATGTTTGATAAATGCACTTGGTGTCGAAATCTCGGCGAGTGGTTCTATCGTTGTTCTATATGTAACTTTTCCTTGGATCTCCCTGTTCCAAAACATTCCACCTCTTGCAATCCAAAATCCAAAAAGCCATCACCATTCACTCGCCTTGTTTCCTCGACCACTCTCTTTCCCTTGTGATGCTTGTGGGTTGATCAACGTCTTGGAACCAAGTTATGCATGTTACCTGTGTAACTACGTGGTTCACAAGACTGTTGATTTACCCCGAGTTATAAAGATCACGCGTCACCCTCATCGACTCTCTCACACTCCTTATCTTCCTACCAAAGTTTCCTCTTGCCGGGTTTGTTACAAGAATGTGGACATCAAGTATGGTCAATATTCTTGCAACCATGAGGACTGCTCTTATGTAGTCCATTCAAAATGTGCAACCCATGAAAGAATCTGGGATGGGAGAGAACTCGAATGGGAACCGGAAGAATCCTATCAAACTGAAGATATGGCACCATTCGTAAAGGTGGGCGAGGATTTGATTGAGCATTTTTGTCATGCTCACCATGTTCTAAGGCTCGAGAAATCTGTTGGAGACTCAGAAAAGCAATGCGATGCGTGTATCCGTCCTGTCGGTTCTCATGATCATTTCTACAGCTGTATCGAATGTGAGTTCTTACTCCACGAGGTATGTGCTAATCTTCCGCGGAAACTTGATCATGCGTTGCATAAGCACCCTCTTTTCCTAGACCCGGAGCTCTACGTGAGAGTACGCGAAGGAGTTTATTTGTTTTGCTTGTTCTCGATATTCGAGTGGTTGGAAGTACAAATGCAAAGAAATAGGATGCACGAGTGGCTGTCAGCTAGATATTAACTGCATTTTAGTTCCCGAGTGGTTCACCCATAAAAGTCATCAACAACATCTCTTATTCATCTCCACATCTTACAACGCTTACGATGAAATTCTCTGCCAAGGTTGCAAGGGGAGTATTCGCGGGGATCATCTACATTGTACTCTATGCGAATTCGATATGCTACAAATGTGCCACAATTCCAGATGAGATATACCACAAATATGATGAGCATCCTCTCTCCCTTTGTTACGGGAAAAGTGGTGTGGATGAGGATGAGGTGTGGTGGTGCGAAGTATGTGAGAAAAGATTAGATCCAAGGGAATGGTTCTACACAACAAATAGCAGCGATCAACGTTGCACCACAATCCACCATGAATGTTTATTCGGAGATTCTGCTTTATTTAAGGCTGGTCATATATTTAGTGACATGTGGAAGTTGTTGGTAACGATAGTTGCTCTCGTCCCATTTGTGGTAAGTGTCATCGCCGTTGCCGACATTCTGTATACTTCAAAGTGCATAGTTGGAACAGTGAGGGGCATGCAACATATGTTGAAGAAGTTACGCTTCTTTGTTCTGTTCTTTGTCTCTCAAAAACCCCTTGGAGGCGCTCCTCAAAGCGCACATCTCTTTACCGACGACGTATTTGACTCTGTTACGAGAAAAGCCCAAGATTCACCACATCTGGGATAATCTATCAGTTTGCTTCTTTGTTTTGTTTTTGTTTTTGTTTTTTTTTTGGCTTTGTTATCAACTTTTGTATTCAGACCACATACAGTAATAATTTTCAGACCATTTTTGTATTAAGTCCATTGAAGAATAATTTTCATTGCATGAAAAAATAGAGTAAAACCAATAGTTACTAGGTGATTCTTCCGCCTTGCGCAGAGATAAGTCGATTTTAGGGTGAATAGCTTTTAGGATAAATCTGGTGAGTAGCTTGCCGGGAACGGACTGAACGCTCAGTCACAGAACAAGAGTGCTCTCCTTTGTATACTTTTATATGAAATGCATGAGAATCTCCAATAGTTGTAGCACGAACTCTCCATTTACATCCTTTCACCCAACACTCAACAGTCAATAACATTGGAGTTGATCTGCCAACATTGAAATCAAACTTGTGTGTAACTGTAAGGACCTTCAATCTCGTTTCCAACTCATATTTTGTGTCGTATCGCTGTCCAACCGCTAAATCAATTGAACTCTTCTCTAAATTCAGAACTTCATCATCAACCTTTGACTTCTTTTTCTCACTAGCTCCATCTTCTTTCTTAGGTGGGTCAATTTCCATTTCTTCTTTCTTAGGTGGGTCAGTTTCCATCTCTTCTTCTACTCCCTCAACCTTTGCAGATTTATCATAGTCTTCATCTCCAGAACTTGCACCATCCTCATCATCGCACCAGTCCAATCTGTCACCTTCATCATCTTCATCATCACTTGCATCTTCAGCATCATGGACTACTGGTTTTGCATTCATATCCACATCTTTATCATCACATACATCTTCAGCATCATCATCATCTCCATTATTAACCTGTTTCTCTTTAATTTCGATGCATAGACGAACTTTGCCTGCCTTGAACTGCCGTAAAAATCCACTTAATTGTATGTTGTGTATCTTTTGGAATGTTTTGCAGAAACTTCTTCGACAACATGTAGCTCAATTCCAACTCAAACAAATCTTTATCCAAATTGTATTCCTCATACACCATCTGAACCAAATCTCCATAAGAGGTTTGTTGATCTACACCTAAAATATTGCAACCTCTCGACTTATCAACATAAAAGACCCATCTGATTGTATCAAAACTCCATTTCCCACAAACTAAAATGATTTCCTCCATTTTCTAAGAAAACTCTGCAACATTACACAATAAACCAATATCCAGAACTCAATCAATCAACTTAAGATAAAACATCACAACCCAGAAGGTAGAAATAGAAGGACTTACGAAGAAAAAATTGAGATTTGGTGACTCCGATTTCCAGAAAGTACGAGATCCGACTCCGATTTCAAGAAAGTATGAGATCTGATTTGTTGTTCTTCAACTAAGTAAGTAATTTCTTCTTCCACTCTTGAGAAAGTGTCTTCATTGACCTGATTAGAGCTCGAAACCCATAGATCTGTTTCTGTTCGAGCTTTCACAAAATAAAAAGATGAAGATGATGAAATAGATATCCAAACAAAACGCTGCGTTTAGCTTTAAAGTCGAATAATTCTACACTCCGCGAATTAAGTCTACAGCAATTGTACTACAGATTATAAGTCTACATATGTGGTAATATACAAATAAAAGTCTACAACTATTACATTTAAGTCTACACGTGTTGTATAGTATACAAATAAAAGTCTACGACCATGAATTGTTACAAAATAAGTCTACCACAACAATGAATAAATCTACCATGAACCAATAAATCTACAATCAAAGAAAATAAATCTACCACAACATAAACGAAAGATAGCATGTTCCTTAAATCTACAGTCAAATAAACAAATCTACAAGACAATGTATAAATCTACAGTAATGTAAACTAAGTCTACCGTAACGTAAACATAAACATAAATCTACGGCCAAATCAAATAAATCTACAAGAAAACTATAAATCTACGACCATGAATTTTTACAAAATAAGTCTACCACAACAATGAATAAATCTACCATGGACCAATAAATCTACAATCAAAGAAAATAAATCTACCTCAACATAAACGAAAGATAGCATGTTCCTTAAATCTACAGTCAAATAAACAAATCTACAAGACAATGTATAAATCTACAGTAATGTAAGCTAAGTCTACCGTAACGTAAACCTAAAAATAAATCTACGGCCAAATCAAATAAGTCTACAAGAAAACTATAAATCTACGGCCACACAACAATAAATCTACAAAATGCCACTTCGACTTTGACATTTTTAAAAAGTCTACTGCAATATGAGTTAAGTCTACGAACATAAATCTACAACAGTAGAAATAAGTCTACAAAATCAAAAATAACTCTACAAACTTAGTTAAGTCTACGGCAACTAAAAATAAATCTACAAACAAAATTCTACGAATAAGATGATAAATCTACAAGACGATATAAATCTACAAAACGAAAAATAAGTCTACAATTTTCAGAATAACTCTACGGTCATTGTTTGTTTAGATTTATTCTTGTAGACTTATTTTGGAAAACGTCTTTTGTAGACTTATTATTCCGGTTCATTAATGGCACTTTCGTAAATACGTTTTTTTGTCACCAAAGAAATAAGGGTAAAATCGGGAAAAAAAAACTGTTTAAGCCACTTGAATTTACAAGAGTTATTATAGTTATTAACTAACTTTCCAAGGTCATATTCATCAACTTTGAGAAAATGGATCAACATAACCTTGGAAAGTTTAATAATAACTACAATAACCTTTGTATTTTACAAAGGTGTAAAAAGACTTGTAAAGTTTTCAGGAGATTGTATTACAAAATTGCCATTCAATTTCATACTAAACCAAAATTAATTAAACCGAATATTAAACCGAATATTAATCTAAACCAAAAATCAATCTAAACCTAATTGCATACTCTCTCTCTCTCCCCGACATTTCCATTTCGAAAATCAAAAAAAAAAAGTTGTCTCTTCTCTCTCGGCGATTTCTCTCCGGCGATTCAGTCCGTTCGACGGTTGAATCTCGACGATTCCGACCAGTTACGGTATCTCGACGAGTCGGACCTTCTATCTCCCTCCCCATTTCACAATTATTCACCTTCTTCTCTTCTGATTTTCGAATTTTGGTGGTGATATACAGAAAATCCGACGGTTCTTCTTCTCCGGCGCCGTCAAGGAGTTTTATTCGTTCCGACGACATACAGGTAGTGATAATCTCTGATTCTTCATGATTTTAAACTTTTCCCCAAAATTCGAGTAAACCCTAACTTTTCCCTAAACTTTTATCTGATTTTCTGTTTCATTTCGCTTTTTAGTGAGACAAAGGAGAGATTCCGGCAACAACACTCTCGTTTCCGATGAGTTTTTTTTTTTTGAATTTGGTGGTTATGTGATTATTGTAGATTTACGCTACTGTTTATTGTTGTTCTTGTAGAGATATTGTTGTCATTGTTGTAGATTTACTCGGAATTAAAAGTTTGATGTCGTAGACATGTTTAAACATTAGTAGTTGATATAGTAGACTTATCATTTTGCATGTGTAGACTTGTTATATTATGGCTGTTTAATTGTAGACTTGTTAGATTTTAGATATAGACTTGTTAAAAATGACCGTAGATTTGTTAGTGGATGTATGATTTGAGTGTTGTCGCAGACATTTCACATTGATTGTGTAGATTTGTTATGAGATGTGGACTTATTTGATGTAGACTTATTATGATATGTAGACTTATTACTGTACTTTTTGGTAGACTTATTGTGCGATGTTGTAGACTTATTAATGTTCTTGTTGTAGACTTATTTAAATCTTCTTGTGCTTCATTTTTCAGGGATGGTGTCTTCAAAGATTGTGAAGAGGGAATATCCTCCGAGAATGTATCCAGCAGGAAAATCACCGTTGCAAAACAAAAGCATGAATCACTGCTGCTCGCTTCCTGATATTGGGAAGAGGCAAAGGAAGGACAAGAAGTTGAGCGCCATTACATCTTTCTTAGGTGAAGACATCTACAACGACATTAGAGACAACTCTCAACTCGGAGTTCTTCTGAAGCTTGCCTCGAGTGCGTACATATGGCGATCTCAGACTGTGCATCATTTCCTAACACATCAATTGGCCATTGAAAGTTCATACGAGATATGGTCATTGATTGGTTGACAACCCGTAAGATTTTCGCTCTTGGAGTTTGGTGCAATCACAGGATTAAAGTGTGATCGTTTGATCCTGAAGACAAGTGGAACGTTGACCACACAGGGTTTTGGGGAGAGTTGAAAATGAATCCAGAGGAAGGGCCTACTTGGGAAGAGCTGGTTAGGATTATGCCACATTCTGGTCTGATGAGAAGAAGAAGCGGCTTGGTTTGCTGCTTATCTTGTCTGTAGGCGTGTTAGGGCTTAATCGTGGTAGTAGGATCCCTTTGGAGCTTGCGAAAAGAGTAATGGATCTGGAAGCGTTTGAGAGATATCTTTGGGGTCGAGTTGGATTCGAGAAGCTGATCAAATCGGTGCAAGTTGTTGATTTGGCTGGAGACTCTTATGTTGTGCATGGATGTGTGCATGTCTTGCTCATATGGGCATATGAGTTAGTGACTGTCTTGGGAGAATTGTTTGGGAGAAGAATAGAAGGGATTGAAGTTCCTCTTCTTCGTTGGGGTTGTGGCCGGCAGCATTTTGTAATGGAAGACGTTTTGAAGAAGGATAAAGAGGAAAGCGAGCAAGAAGGTACAGTTTTTCTGTTTGTATTTTTCAATTTCAATTTCCCAGAAATTTGTATGGTGTGTTTGTGATGTAGTTACTTAAATACTTGTAGGTTCGAGTGAAACATTTCTTGATGAAGCCTGATTCTATTGAGGACATATATCTTGTGTGGCCTGATGAAGCTGTGAAATGTGATAAGAAGCTTCACAACATGATCGAAGATATCTATGATGGGTGTTTGGATGAATCACAATGGGAAGAAGATGTGGCGGTTGTGAAGAGTAAAAAGAAGAAAGAGGTGTTTGAGGAAAGCGCAGATGTTGTGACAAAGACATCAATGAAGAAAAGCCAAACATCTAAAATTCAGGAAGAAAAGAAGAGAAAGAAGAGGGAGAACAAATCAGAGGAGAAAAGTGACAAGGTGAAGAAGAAGCAGCAGAAGAAGACGGTTCCTGAGAATGAGATGGATGAGGAGAGTGAGAAGGAAAGAGAAGATGTTGATATGAGCATCAGGTTGAAAGACATTCCAAAGAAGAAAAAAAGTGAAGATAGTGAAGTGATGAAGATGCTTCGGTTAATGAACGAAAAAATTGACAGCAAGTTTGATTCATTTGGTCGTAAAGTTGAAGACAGATTTGAAGCCATGGAGAATAGGATTAACAAGGTGGAGGAGACCAAGGGCAAGGAGAAGCCTTCTGTGGAGTCTAAGGCTTCAGCTGATGGTGGCAGTGGGGAGGGTAATCACGGTGATGGTTCAGAGGATTCAACTCCGGTATGTAAGAATCTCTTCCAATCTCAGTAGCTATGCGCCAGAGGAAGTGATTGCCTTCTGGAGCAAGTGTGATTCCCTTATGGAGGAAGTGATTACCTTCTAGAGGAAGTGTGTTGTGTGTGAATTTATGTATAATAGTAGACTTATTATTTTTAAAACGGTATGTTATTGTAGACTTATTTAAATGAAATGTAGACTTTATTATGTTGAATTGTCGCTGTTGTAGACTTAAAACACAACGTTGCAGATTTTCGAAATGTTGTAGACTTTTAGAATCGTTGTAGACTTTTTATGAACACAGACATTGTAGACTTAAAGTGATACTCTGGCTGCTATGTTGTAGACTTTCTGTTGACCTATGATTTAATAGTGGCTTTATCGTAGACTTATCTTGCGTTGTGATTGATTGTCTTGTTTTAACAGTCGTGGATGGTAAACATGAAGCCAACGTCGGATGGAGAGTCTCCGATAGCCTGTGTGGTCAGAAATCCTAAATCCAAAGCTAAGGTTGTCCGCAAAGTTAAAGTGGAACCCGATGATCAAAAGCTGAACAAGCAACCAGTTAGAGGAGATAAGAAGAAACCGGATAAAGAAACATGCATAGATGTTGAAGAGCTCACTGAAGAATCCGGTGACAGCTCAATATATATTGAGAGGACTAAATTTCTCAGTCAAACATTAGATAGGTTGCTGGAGTTTACAAAAGACGATGACATCATAGCCGGTCGACCGGTTCGAACCCTGAATCTTGTCTCAAACCAAGTTTCTCCATATTTAGGAAGTTCAGCAGTCAGACGAATAATGTTTGGTGTGCACTCTTCAGATGCTATGTATGATCCTTTTGAGACAGTCCATCCAGATAAAAAGAAAAAACTGATTGAATACGTGAAGTCAGATATGTAAGTAACATCTCTCTTGCCCTTTCTTCATTTCATTTTTGAAGTCATATGTTCTCATGTTCTCTTGCCCTTTTTATTTTAGGGTCAACCCATTCGACACAAGTCTTATAGGGGTTGAATTCTTTCTCATGATCATGACACCAAAACATCTATGGCTTGAAGAAATATATGGGTGGTTGTTCGGAAAGGTAAATAACCCTCACCTCACCTTTTAGGTTATAGCAGCAGACCTATTTATTGTAGACTTATTTAATTGATTTGTATATTTGATTGTTTAATACATTTTCTTAGCATATGTCTTTTGGGATGCATATGTTAACGAAAAGATCTATGCAGAACCCAACTCCATTTCAAAGTGAGAGGATTGCTTTCCTCGACCCATTCTTCACGGGTCTTTGCTGTTCAGAATATAAGTTCCAATTCAAAGGGAAAGAGAAGAAGTGGGTGTTTCCATATAGTAAAATTAGGTAATAGCTATGGTTAGGGGTTTAGGATATGCATATTGTGGGACACATATCCCACATCCAAGTATATAGAGTGAATGAAGAGATGAGAAAGAAATAGGTAGAAATCTCACAATGAACCAAACAAAAATAAGAACTAAGAACACTCAAATGGATTTGTATTAATGAAGAATGGCGTTTACAGATTGTAATGCGATAGCTCGTTGAGCATACAAGAGAATAATAAACGAGAGTCAAAGATAAGTGAAAGATCCGTCTTCCGTCGGGTTCCTGCTTCCTTTATATAAGCTGTTCGACTTCTAACTGCTCCACGGATATCTGAGATCTTCAGCACATGTGCTCCGGATTTTAGGAGATCTCTTCGAACTACCTTGTTACGATCTCCGGTTCTGACTCCACGTGCAATGAGCCATTGTGCAGCTAGACGAGATAAGTTGAGCTTTAGACAAATGGGCTTCCGACAAACGAACTATAAATGGGCCCTTATTAGGCCTTAATATGGGAAGATTTAGGTGCTAAATCTAGCTCCAACACTAGCCCCCCAGCTTATTGAGAATAGTGATTAGCTCAATAGGCGGAAGATAGAGAAGAAGTTAAGTTTGAGGATTAGATTTTAGACTAAGTCCTTTTGACCGCGAGCAGATGTTTGCGTATGCTGTAGTTCGATTTTAAGACGAACTAAGGTTGCGCGAACTGACGAACTCATTTAGGTTAGTCTGCCCAGACGTTTTGGATGATCATTTGATGATCCGAGTTCGATATAAATGATCGTTTTAAGAGATCTTTATGTAGTATTTGCTCGTTCGCGAAAGTTCGACTACTTGATGGTGAACTTTGGTTTGTCGAGCTTTTGTTGGGATAGCTCGTTGGATATAACTTGTGATGCGAACTGTCTAAAAACAAGATACAAGTCATATAAATGAAGTTGTTTGAAAAAATATGGTGGCTGAACTCGACGGTGAGCTGCCTATACGTACCCCATTGGAGGATCAAGCCTTGACGTAGTTCAATTGTTTTACTACTTAATAGTAGTAGTTATTTGGTTTATGGTGTTTCATAAGCGTGGGATCGAGCTGTCGGGATCCAAGCTGTCGGAATCCGAGCCAATGTTTCGACGGTTATGTCTATACAGACTTTTGTAATAACGCATTTTGAGATAAATATCTATTGAAGCTCGCTCTTTTATGGAGTTTATGGAGTTTCAAAAGAATTTCGAGTCTCAGGTTATATATTTTATTTTTTTTGGGAGTAGATGCCCCTATACCTCCCCTACAAAGGCTAAGTTCACTTAGTCGTTGACATAGAGTTTTATTGGGAGCAGGAGGTGGTGTTGTTACTGATTTCGTCGAACCGCCGCATTGCGCGAGGTCTTTGAATATCATGTCTATTCGCTGTTTAAAAGCGGGAGGAGGAGAATCGTTTTCTTCCTCTGCGCTAAGTTCACTTAGTCGTTGACATAGAGTTTTCTTGGGAGCAGGAGGTGGTGTTGTTACTGATTTCGTCGAACCGCCGCATTGCGCGAGGTCTTTGAATATCATGTCTATTCGCTGTTTAAAAGCGGGAGGAGGAGAATCGTTTTCTTCCTCTGCTCGCCTCCTCTTTTGGGGAGCTTTGTTTTGAGTTCCCCTTTTTGATTTGGGAGTGGTTGGGAGTGTTCCGTCACTTTCTTCCTCCGATTATGAGGATTCTTGTTCCTCATTATCGTTTTTTGGCTTTTTGCAAAATTTGTTCTTATTGCAAAGTGAGCGTTTTTGTTTCTGCGAGCTACTGTTAGTGATAGCATGTACATTTTTGCCTGCAGCTAGTAACCTAGCATTGTACTTTTCGAGATTGCTCGAATAGTCCTCTTCTGCGTGAGCAAAAAATGTTGCTTTATGCAGCGCATCGTCAAGCGAGCTGGTGGGTCTGACCGCCAAGTCGTGTTTGAATTGTAAGGTGAACCACAGCCCGTTTTGCAAGCGTCAATGTCTACCGCATCATTGAGTTTTGCGATTTTCGCTTTCACTTCTTTGAAGCGAGCTATGAAGCGGCAAAGTGGCTCATCAGGACCCTGGCGTAATTTCCAGAGATCGGCTTCTGTAGCTCGTGTTTCAATAAACATCGAGTATTGTTTAAGGAAAACTGATACGAGCTGATCGAAACTATTTATTGAGCCGCCTTTTAGACTTGCGAACCACTCGAGAGCTGGGCCTGTCAGGTTTTCTGCAAAGAATCTACAGTAGCCCGGTCCTTTTTCGTAATCGCTCAGGTGAGCTTTTGTTATTGCCAACCTGAAGGCTGTGATGTGAGCTTTCGGGTCGGTGGTTCCCGAGTACTCTGGGAATCTAATTTTTCCGGTGTCCCTGATTCTAGTATTAGCTATTTTGTCAGTAAACGGGGTACGACGGGTTTCTTCCATAACTCGATCGATGTCTGGTGCGGCGCTCATAACTGAGTGCATGAGAGATTTCATGCGTCTGAGCTCAGCATCGTTTCGTTCTGCATATTGCCGAAAGGCTGGATCGTTACCGAAGTAAGTATGGTTTGTTTGAGCTGGTTGCTCGAAAGCGTGCTCTTCATGAGTTTGTCTCGGCGGTCTTCTATTTTGTAAGTATCATTTGGGAGCGGTTGATGACGAAAATGGAGGTGTGTAAGTGTGTCCACCATAGTGTTCGGCCCGTGGCGGTGCCTGCGGCCTAGATCCAAATGGTCTTGGTGGCGTTCTTTCTCCGGTTCCGAATGGTCCTGGAGGGGGTGGAGGAAACTGTTCTCCGTTGCAAGCTGATACTCGTGGAGCAGAAGCTCTTGGTTGCCCTGTACCGCTCGGATCCATGGAGGGAAATTGTTCCCTGTCGTGAGCGTCGGAGTTTCTCGGTCGTTCCGAACTGCTCGGGTCTGAGGTTGGGGATCGTCGACCGGAAGTGTTGTGAGCTTCGGCATTGTGAGAAGTTCTCTGTGTGCCGGGAGTTTCTGAGACCGGGGAGAAGTCGAGTTCCTTGTATAGGAGTTCTCGCGGTCTCAGCTCTTTGTTCGAAATTCGCGCTACGGTGCAATGGTGGCGGCGTAGTTCGTTCGATAGTAGTTTGAATATTTGCGAGCTGAGTTTGGATGAATGCTTCCTGGTTTTGAGATTTCTCAAGTAGGAGATCGAGCATCCTCCGAATTTCAGTTGTTTCGTTCGGATCGGATCTCATTTGTCCGAACAAATTCGATCTGAGGCGACGCGGCCAGTCGAAGTGTATGTGATCGTTAGATCAACCCTCCGATCGCACCCAGTTGTATGGGTTACCCATGACAGAGCTATCGGCGATCGGGTTCAGGCTACCGAATCTAGTTCAAACTGTTGATGTATTCGCAACGGTAGCTCGTTCGGTTGGCGCAGGCGCGCCCGTGGTTGGATCTGTTGGTGCAGGCGCGTCGGCCGATGCACTGGGGTTGAGATTAATGCGATCTGTTTCAGATCCAGTTCGCACCGTAGGAACTGCTCCGGTTGGAGCGGACGAAGTTGTTCCGACTGGAACGGAATGGTTTGTTCCGGTCATGTTTGAAGGGTTTAACCCTTCGGAGTTGGTGGAAACGGGGATCCGTGCTGGCGCGGTTGGATCCATTGACTTTCTAACTGGCTTTACTCAGGGCTTCTGAGCTAGAGATTTCTTTATCTTCCCCTCAGAAGGCGCCAATATGTGGGACACATATCCCACACCCAAGTATTTAGAGTGAATGAAGAGATGAGAAAGAAATAGGTAGAAATCTCACAATGAACCAAATAAGAATAAGAACTAAGAACACTCAAATGGATTTGTATTAATGAAGAATGGCGTTTACAGATCGTAATGCGATAGCTCGTTGAGCATACAAGAGAATAATAAACGAGAGTCAAAGATAAGTGAAAGATCTGTCTTCCGTCGTTGTGCAGCTAGACGAGATAAGTTGAGCTTTAGACAAATGGGCTTCTGACAAACGAACTATAAATGGGCCCTTATTAGGCCTTAATATGGGCAGATTTAGGTGCTAAATCTAGCTCCAACACATAGGGTTTTATTAATTAATGGGTTTTGGTGTTTTACTTGATTGATAAGTTAAAGGTTTTCATGATTTATATGTTAGAGTGTTTTCCTTTTCACATTAGGGTTATGCTAAGTTGTAATCAAGACCTATATAAGGGTCTTTATTTGATTAATAAAAACCAAGCCCCAAGAATTAACCTTAATCTCTAAGAGAGAATTAGGGTTAAGAAGGAGTTAAGCTTTTACATCTTTCAATCTAAGTGTGTGAACAAAGATTCATATCACTGCAGAAAACTTCAACTTTTGTTCATATGTAATTTCAGGTACTTGGGCATTCAACAAGTTGTATTTGGTGGGAAACGAATGGGAGACTGGGAAGAGTGAATGACAAATCCCGATTTTGGAAAACAGTTTTGTTATATATAGGCTTCTCTTTTGTGCTCTTGAGAACATACAACTAAACAGTGTTAATGAAGATATTAAGCTTAGAGCATACAACAGCCGAAATGGCTCTTTACACACCAACTGAGACATTACCACAAAGATTTTTGCTTCCGCCTAAGCAAAGTTAGCAATCGTGCATTGGCCAAATGCAATACGTGAGGGTTAGTTAGTCTTCTGTAGACTCTTTTAGTTAGCTTGGTAGACTTAGCTTTTGTTTGTTAAAAAACTCCACAATTTAGTTAGTGAGCCCGATGTCTTCTCATGGATGAAAATTTGACTGAGTGGCGCCTCCACTCATAGGCTCAGTGCGCTGAGAATGACATTATAAAATTGAATCGAGAGCTTAGATATAACAAAAACTGTTCTATAGACCAAACTATAACAAATCATGTAGGGACAGAGAGAGAGAGAAATACCGAGAGGTCTACAACCCATACTCTCAGACAGAAAATCTTCCGAACCGCTCAACTACATTATGTCTAAAGCGTGTCACGTTTCAACTAACTCACGTTTTGGCATCAAGGACATGCTCATGGATTCTCAAAGAGGTAATTAAGATTACCTCGTTTTTTTGTATAGCATACCAATGAAGAGGGACCAGAATAACAGACATCTTTTTGAGATCAAGCACCAAAATATGCAAACAGTATACGAGAAAAAGAAACGAATTGAAAGCCAGACCAGGCAAAACTGAATAAAGCAAGAAACCGAAAACAAGATATAACAAGAAAGATCCGATAAAAACCAATTCAAGGAAGCAATGGTGAAAACAGGAGAAACCCGTAGTTAGAATCGGAGGGAAATTACAGAAATCTATCACGGTTCCTATGAAAAAGACAGAAGAATGACTAATTTGAAGCCCTATAAACGAATATGTCCTCGAAATTGATTGGTGAAATCTACTAAAGCGAAAACTCCTAACAAAGAGAAGATGACTTATTCTGATGTCATTGATCTAAACGAAATTAGAAACCCTGAAAATGGTATCAACATATAAAGAAAGGCCAAAGTGTAGTTAGGGTTAAGGAAAGAAAAAGAACCGAATAACGAAGATTTCTTCAGAATTGATTGGTGAAACCTACTCCTAACAAAGAGACTGTGATTTCTTCGGAAGCGAATACTCCTAACAATTTCAAGGTGATTTCGAATGTTATTGACCTAATCGAAATTAGAAACCCTAAAAACAAAATTGAAAGATGTTGTTGCACCTGGATTTCCCTCCAGAAATCCGGTCCATAAGACCCATAAGACCCATCACCTCAACCTTAAGTTCAAGATAAGTCCGCCCAGACACAGTAAAGTGACCTCGAGCCCACCAAATATCCTTGTCCAAATCCAGCTGTTTACTGTCCGAGCTACTTGTGAAGACGAAGTCGAGCTCTAGCTTGATGGAGTCAAGTCCGCAAGCCGAGCTGAACGAGTCAAACAAGAATCTCGCTTCGACCGTCGGATCCGGAAATAGCGGGATCGACAGCTACACGTGGACGAGATACACGGAGGAGGCTGCGATCTACTTCGGGAGGTATAAAAGGAGGACGATTCTGGTCTTAAGGGCAAGTTTCATTCTTCTCACTTCTCAGAAAAAAAGGTTTTATCTTCCACATTTTGGAGACAACTTGAAGTTTTTCTGATCATCTTTTCACAGCAAAAACAGAGTGAAGTTCTTCTTCTTGTCTTTAGATATTCTGATATCTTTTCTCTACAATCTTATCATTGATCTTCGAGATAACCCTAGAAAGCTCTTATCTTTCTAGCCGGAAATCACTTACAGCAGAAGTTTGACATAGTCTTTTACCCCGATAACCTAAGATTTATCGTCATCTTCACACCCCTTTAACTATTTTCGTCGTCATTTCGCTTCAGAAAACGACCCGAAATAGAGAACAACTATAATCGAACTACGTTCAGGCTTGATCCCTAGAGCAGGGTACGTAGGCAGCTCGATTAACGAGCACAACCACAATCTTATTTCCATCTCTTTAGCTTAGTCGAATCTTAGTGTTTTACATGGTCTTTTAGGCCGATTTTGTAACCTTTTTATTCGATTAACCTAAGTCCGATTTCGTCAAATACTTGTTTATACTTGTTCGACTTACATCATAATCTAACCTCTGATTCCACAAGCAATTTCTCCCTACAAAATACATATAAATTTTGAGTGTGGTTTTCTAGAACCCACAAATGTGGGTGAAGGAAATGACTGAAATCAAAGGCAACAAAACGTAAGAAAAGACGATAAACTTAAAAAACGCTAACCAATCTAAGCTAGAGACGACGAATGATTTGATGGCCTCCGAAAACTCAGAAGCTCAACAACAAAATAATGATTTGACCTAGGGAAAAGAGAACGGGTACTGTATTTAAATTTTGGGAGATTTGTGAATATACCCCCAAAAGAGAGAACTATTGTCCCCTTACACTTTTTTTGAAATTTATCAAATCTGGACTCTAATACCCTTACATATGCTAGAAATATGATATAAATATATTTAAAAGTTTTAAAAAATTAAATAAATTAAGTAAAATGATTCTAAGGTTTAGAGAATATTTTCACAATTTGTTTTTGAAATTTGAACCTCAGAAAAATAAATAAAATTTGCATCTACCAAATTCATTATTCAAAGTAGAATTTGTCTTCTACTAGAGACTCTCACATCTATCCCTCGTAGAACATAAAATCTACCAACTGTTCAGCCATCTACCATCGTAGAATTTGCTTTCTACTAAATACTCTATACTCTACGAGTTGGTAGAGTTGTAGAACATTTGTTCTACGTTGTATACGGTTTTCTACCGTTGGTAGAACCTATATTCTAACCTACACATTGTTTTCTACCATCTCTAGAATCTATATTCTATCATAAACAATTTCTTCCACTATTTGGAGAATTCGTGTTCTACACAAAATACTATCTTCTACTATTTGTAGACTTTGTGTTCTCCTGAAAACAATGTCTTCTACTGTTTGTAGAAACTATAATCTACATTAAACACATTTTTCTACGAAATGATAGAATTCAACTTCTACGAGAATCTAAAAAATATAGTAAAAATGGTAACTAAATATTAGAAAATATCTTCAAAAACTATATTTCCTTAATCTACTTTGCCAGAAGAAAAAAAAGAATTCTCATCACGTTCTTCTTCTTCTTTTTTGCTTTTTCTTATCATTTATATAATTTTCTTTTAGATTATTTGTTTTAATCTATTTTTCTCAGGTTATTCTGTTGCATATCTATATAACATATGGAGACTGAGTGCAATCAAATGGTGGAATTTCGTTGTTGGTGAGGCAAAAGGAACTAGATTACTTGCTTTGAAATATATTTTTCTTTTCTTAAATAATTAATTATTTATTTGTTTATTACACTAATCATTTAATTTCATTTATTAATTATTTATTTATTTGAAAAAATCATGAAAACGTAATTTGAGGGTTAAAATTGGATTTAAAATTTAATTAAGGGTAAGTGGACAAGATTTGGCAAAAAAAGAGTAGATGGACAACTCTTCTCTTTTTCTGGAGTATTTTGCCAAATTTCCCTTAAATTTTAAATATAAAGTTTTTTCTTAGGTGGCGTAAAAACAACACCGTCAATAGTTTTGTACAGCTTGCTTTAACATCTAGCACCAAAACGACAATGTATTAATATCATATGATAGATTTAGGCGATATACATAAAACTCAAATGATTACAATATAATAAAAAAATTCAAAAAACAAAAAATGAATATAAATTACTATTCTTTAAAAAAATTTATATATCATGTATTTCATAAGATAAACAGATATAGATATAGACCTTGATTGGTAAAGACTTTAAGGACTTTGACTGTTAAATTTTTAGTTTAAAACTCTGGCTGTAGAAACTGTTACTTTAAAATGAAAAATTGTGGCTTTAGAAAATATAAAAAGCTATGTTTTTTGGCTTTTAAAAAAACTCAACAAATGTGAAAAAAAAAACTGAAGAAATGGCTTTGAGGATTTTTAGGAAGGAAGTTAAAGACTTTCGAGGCATTAAAACTTCTAAAGTCTGATTGGGTTATTTATGACTTTGAAGACTTTAGATTTTTTTTAAAGTCCCTAAAGCTTAAAATGCCAAAATGCCAATCAGTATCATATGCACACAAATGATAACTAACTTTTTCTTTCTTTCATTCAAAACTAAAAAATGTTTTATTATAATTCACAACAATTAGACCAATAAGAAAACAATATGCAGAATCCTAATTGTCAAAACAACAAAAATTTAATTAGTTTTATATTGAAAGTGAAACAGATAGAACAATATTCAAATTTTTTATCACTATAATATATTTATAAAAAGAATTGTTTAATTTGATTTAATTATACAATTTAACTAAAAATCCATATTAAATTGAAGAAAAACCTTTTTACATTTGGAATATTACTCTCCTATGTCACATGGTTGTACATCATCTATTTTTTTAATATATTTTTACACCTTCACACAACAACATATCATATATAGTAATTTTAAGATTTTTAGTGAATATTTTGTTTTTAAAAATTCAAATCATAGTATATACAGAATTGTTTTTAGCTTTTCTTTATTAAATTTCTTATATTGTGATTCAAATTATTTTATAAAATAAAAGTAAACAAAGATGAAAGAAGATATCTAATGATTTAAAAAAAAACAATTATTATGATAGAATTAAATTGAATCTCATATGTTCTTTATTTACTAATTTTCATAAATGCCGATTAAGGAAAGAGAATGGTAATTTTTTTTATAAATAGAATTATATATAACATAGAAATAAATAGTACTCATTTTGAAGAGAATAGTCTAATTTCAAAATAAATAGTCTCTAGAGTCTTGAGTAGTTAATATATTCTGTGGCATAGTTGTAAATAGTCTAATAAAGAAAGGCTTATTTTAAAAAAAAATCTAAGGGATAATTCACCAACTACTAGTGTGGCCTGATACGTGCACGTTATTATCGAAATGTACGGTCCAAATAAAGCTCTTTAAAAAATATTTTGAGCGTTCTTATGTCTTAATAATGCTAATAAGATCTTGTTAGTTGGGTTGGATCTATCAGAAAACGTCAATTAGTTCAATTTCACGACATGTGTAAACTTATTATTTTGTAACTTTTCTTATCTTTGAGTCTTGACCGACCATTATGTCACGTTGACTTATTCATCGAGTTTCCGTAACCATCTCATTGTAGTTCTTTTAACTTGCATTTTGGTTTTAATAAAAAAAAATTACTAAGTACAGTTTAAAACAATCTTGAGTTTTCTAATTCAATTTATTTTAATTGTGTTACTGTTGCTTATATTTTTGGATTAGGATTAAATACCTAATTCTTTAGTGACTAAGCCATTTTACTTTTGTGTGGTGGAAAAAATTGAAACTTTTTTTTTGTTTTAAGAGAAAATCATCTCTCAAATCTAGTCCAAACATTATCTGCCATCTAATGGTTACAAACTTTAGACCATTACAATGAGTATGACATTTACGATGTATAATTTTCTACCAAAAAAGTATAAGCAAACACGTATAACATAGAAACTTGAGACCATTACACTGATAATGACATTTGCGATGTCTAGTTTTCTACCAAAATTATTAGGTTTTTATAATTGAATATTCTATAAGACCAGTTTGTGATTTTTATCAACCAAGTTGGTGATGATCATTTTCTTTTTTTGCTCCTTTTCAAAATTCTTTTGGGAAATGAACAGCAACCGTTGTAAATTTTCAATGCATCTCTACTTTAACTTATACGAGCAATCTCTGTCCCATCGTTCCCGTTTCATTGCTGAATTGATAACCAAGGTTCTCTCTTTTTAATAACTTTTTATGGTTTTCAATCAATTATTTGGTGCGAAAAGATAATAAGACATTTTACCTGCAAAAATAATAAATAACATTTTTCACGCTGTTTAATAAAAGATTATGATCAATATTTTAAAATGAAAGTATAAATTGTTGAATGTATTAATAACATAGTTAATGATAATCTAAAAAATCATAATTTCATATATCTCTTTCAGTTTATGGGGTGATTGCTGATCTGACCCATAATTGTTGGTCAAATGCAAAAGTAACCCATGAAAATAGTTTCTCTATTTGGTCCTTTAGAATTCTCGATTATTACGATAATGCCATTATTTTTACATACGAGGTTTACGCTCGCGGTCTACATTTTCGCGTTGAGGTCTACAATATCTGGCTGAAGACCAAGTGAACCTTATCTTCTACATTTAATAACGAAAATGCCACTATCATCAATTCCTTCAACCACCATTTTCAACCAACTTGAAGGTTTTAATGCTTCATATCACACTAATAGACAAACTCCAACCATAATCTCACATCATCTTACTCCTACTCTTTCATTTTCTCTCTATTTTCAACTCAAACATTATCATATTGAAATTTTCAAAATTTCAAGTTCTAGATTTTCTCATTCTTGGTGTGTGGCCTATCCTACGACCGAGGAACCGTTTCAAAGGCCTATTTAGACAGTTTCACGCGTCGGCGGCCTATAATACGACGGCGAGGTAGTGCTTCAGTCCATTTTCAAAGTTTTCAGATCTGTGTCGCGACCGTAGATCTCAGTCGGAGGTCTACAGGTCAACGCACAGGTTACTTTTGCAATTGACCACGATAACATTTTTGATATAGACCTCGAATAGAGGTCTACATATATCTCTTTGGAAACAAACAAATATGTTTAAACCTAGCTACGAGGTCTACATCCTTCACGGGTTAGTTTTGCAATTGACCAAGGGAGGGCTTTTTTTATGAGGTTTACAGCTGATGTCTACTGGTGAAAGGGGTTAGTTTCGCAATTGAAAAATATTTGACTTTTTAATTTAGACTTCCCTATGAGGTCTACATAGCCTATTTTGGGCGTGAAGTCTACGTGTGAGGTCTACACGGGCTGTAGACCTCAACGTGCGATCTATATCAATAAGTTGGTCAACGCAAAATAGTCGGAGGTCTACACTTGAGGTCTAAAGTATGATGAATTTTTTGAATCAATTGCAAAAATAACCCCTTTGAGGTCTACTTTTGCAATGAGGTCTACAAGGTTAAATTTCATCGTTTGCAAAACTAACCTCTTATATTTTAGACCTCTCATGTAGACCTCAGTAAAAAGTCAACCCTCGGTCAATTGCAAAAATAACCCCCCCATAGACCTCGTATTTCGGTTTACCGGCGCGATCTAGTGTTGTGGTCTATGTTTTTAAGTTTTTTTAAAAATGGTTTTTTGCGAAAGTTATAATTGTTTTTGTATATTTTCTGGCATATAAGGTTCTTTTATAGTACTAACTTGTTTTGGTAAGAGTTTCACTTGCTAGTTTGCTATACTTAAGGTTCAATTAGTTTTTCGTTTAAATTATGTATCTAGCTTAAATTATGTAGACTTCATTGAGAGGTCTACATGTTCAGAAATTTTTTTGGCTAACTTAAGTATTTTGCCTTATTTTCATGAAGTTAATGGTTTGTTTGGCTTCGGTGTATAGAGCAAGGACGATGGGAGACATGGAGAGTTGTACGCATGGAGAGTTGGTTGAAATGGTGTTAGCTGACTATATGTTTGGAGTCTTTTGCTCATCAAATTTAACTTGGTTTAGATTATTTCAAAATCTAACTTGGTATTGTGTGTTCTTTTTATTGTTTGAAAAGAGAATCACTAATCTACTCAAGTATTGCTTTAGGTCAAGGCAAGATCCGATGATCAATAATTACAGTTTGCAAGTGAGAAGAAAACAATAAGAGTATGTTACTTGTACTTAATTCACAGTTGAATAATATATTTTGTTATGCGAAGACTCAGCTTCATCCAAACCATTTTCTCAATCAAACTTGCATTATAAATCAATATCATACAATCCAATGAACAAATATAATGCTGTTTACATTAATAAATATCTAGAAGTTATAATATCTATAAAGCAGTTTAATTAGATCAAAGGCATTGAATGTTGTAACGAAAAGTGAAACTGCGGATTAAAGCTTTGTTATCTTGAGGACTTTGATCACTTCTTGCCACGAAGTTTAGCGCCAAGTGCTCTCTCCTTAGAAAGAATTTGCTGGTTGGGGATTGCTTTACCAGACTCAAACTCTTGAACCACTTGTGGCTTCTCATTGATAATCTACACAATGCAGCAAACAAGTGTTCTTTTTGTTGTCATGAACCGAGTTGCAAAACAGGGAATAAGAGTAAGATATAGAGAGGAAGATAAAAGTACTTGAGCAAGTTGAGACTGTCAGCTTCTTCTCTGTGCGGGCTTGCATAATCGCTTTCTTTAGCTCAGTAGTCACACGTTCATCTGAAAATCACAAAATGGTAGAGAAAACTTTTAATGGGAGCTTCAGCAACAAATACACATCAATGAACAAAGAAGTTCCTCTCGCTAATAGCCTAAAACCATCAAAGATTAAAGAGCCTAAACAGATTTCCAAGAATACAGCGTATGAGACTACCATTTCCTAGCCACAAGGGGAATCAATTCAACAAATGGTGAAGAAAAAGGTAGGAGATAAGACTTACGAGTAAGGTTCTCAGTGTCATCATCAAGCGCTTTTGTGTTGAGAGATGTGCCGCTTGAAGCCGCCTTGTTGGTTCCAGCATTGACTAAACACAATACACAAAGAGGGACGTGATACATATCATAAGCCATAGCATGAAACAATGAAATTCAAGAACAAAGATCAAAAGCATATGCAAAGCAGACCATTTTAATGCCAAAGACGCAAAATGATTTCACATTGCAAACTAGCAATGATTTCAAATCAGTTAGCAAAAACTCAATTCATGAGCAGGAAGATGGATATGGAGAAATACCCAAAGCCCATCTCATCCATGGTTGTCTTGGCAATCACAAGTAGCTACATTTTTCAAGAGCCTTGTCACAACCATTGCGGTTTTCTCTGCAGCTTCGTGAGTCTTCTTCCATTGTGGACTACCAAATCCTGTGAATAAAACCACAAAGTTTCAGGATTCATCAAAAACAGTTTAAAAATCACTTTTCGAAAATGGAAAACACTTTCTATTCACATTCAAAACAGCATATCAAGAAAACAAAACACAAACATGAGAATGTGTTGATAACAGAATAACAGAGAACACAGATTTAGTTTCAGTTTAATCAACTTTAGAAGAAAACGATTTGGTATTTACCAATGGAAACGTGTTCTTGCTTCTTCTCTTCTCCACTTTCCAAGTGAGATCCATTAACCTGCGACCAGAAAGCCCTAATCAACACCATTTAACAACTTTTTAAAGACCAACATGTTTCAATAAATCTGTAAAAGAACAGATTCTGGTTCAGATCTAATATGAGGAGAAGGAGGAGGGCTTACCAGCGACGGCAGCAACGGCGAGACCGCGACGACGGAGGCAACGGCGAGAACGAAAGAGCGGCGACGAGGAGACGAAGGCCACGACTTCGAAGCTTTACGGCGGAGGTATAGTTGGACGGCAGATGGCGTTAGGTCGCCGGATCTGAGAGAGAGATTGAGGTTCGTTTGAAGAGGTTGGTTGAGGTTCTAGGCGAGAGCCGAGAGGAAAGCCTGAAGAGAAGACTGCGCCGTTTGGAAGAGAGAGTTTTTTTTTCATTTCTTTTAACAAAAATTAGGGTTTTGTTTCTTATATACAAGAAGAGAAATTTTTCGGTTTAATTAGAAAATTCTGGATAAGTAAAATTTTTTTTTGGTTTAGTTAAACCCTAATTTATTGAGGTTTACAAATATGGTCTACGAACGTGATTTACGAACGCTGTCAGAGTTGCACATTTTCATTCCCGCTAAAAGGGTTTCAATTTTCAAATTCCCGCCAAACATTTTAGCAGCATTTTGAGGTCTACAATACCCTAAACCTCAAATTTTGAAAAAAATGATTAACAAAATATTGATTTTGCTTCGGATTTACCATATTTAGGGTTTGGATAAGAAATATATTAATCATATATCAAAAAACGAAGCAAAAATAATAATTCAAAATAAAATCCTCCAAACCCTAAGAACTATCCATCTAAACCCTAAACTATCTACTCAAACTCTTCTTCTTTTCAACCATTTATTCATAGTTTTTTTGTTTGGTTCGTTTTTCTTAAATTTTAATTTGAATACAAGTCAAATGTCTAATAATTAATTATGCATGCAAATTGTTTATGAAATTATTTTAAAAAAAAATTATAATTTAATTTTAAGATTTCTGTTTTCAGGTAGACCTCGCTGTTAGACGTCTGACGGTTTTATAAATTTCTAACCTAATTAGCTTTTGCACATTTAAAAAGACTTATTATCATGTTTATATAGATTTTGAATGTCTATACCTTGTTTCTGAACACAATATTTCAATCAAAATATTTTCTATATTTTTTATAAATTAAATTTTGGATTTAATTAAGTGGTAGACTTCTTCTGTAGACCTCATATATTTTTATAGCTTTCTAACCTAAATTGCTTATGGTTATTTACATTGATTTATTTCTATGCAATTCTATTTTTCTTAAGTGAAAATGTAAGTGTTTTATTTATTGATGTAAATGGTTTCACCATAATATTTTTATTTTCTTATATAATTTAAATATAAGATATAATTAATATGTAGACCTACAATTGTTGTCTATATGTAGACAGCAAGCGTAGACATCAGACGCGGGTCAAAATAGTAATCGCGGCAAACGTTTTTTGTTTGTTCATGAGAAGAGATTTTTACTTTTTGCTGACATGGAGGTTAGTTTTGCAATATGTTGAATTTGGGGTATAGGTTTCTTGAAAAAAACAAGTTATGAGTTAGTATTGGCAATTTCCCCTCAGTTTATTGAATTTAACAATTGATAACCTATAGAAGTTTTTGTCACATATCTTAATTGCTTTCCAAAACTTCCAATATTGTGCATGTGTGTTGTGTAGTTGTGTTCAATTACTAATAATCTTGTACTTCATTTAAAGGTTAGAAACGATCACAATAGTCATCTAGAAAGCTGCGTATTTCATCATTTCTCATACCAATCCGATGACGGTACGCTTGAAACTTGGATCCAATCAATAATTCATGTGAAACGCACAAAACGTCTCAGGCTTATAAGCTGTGATGGTTGCCATTGGTTAGATATTGCACTCAACATGTCCCCAAACATATTCTCTCATCCAGCCCTCCAAATACTCTTTCTATGTCGATATATATATATATATTAGTAGAGGACCCGCGCAGACGCGCGGTGTAACGTTGCAGTTTTGTGAAAAAAATCTTAACTTAAACCCGAATCCGACCCAAAAACCCTAATAAAAATTTGTAAAAACTCAAACCCTTTTAATATGTCTAAACCCGAAAATCCAAAATCCAAAAAATCCTGAAAACCTTAACCAAATAAAAAAAAAAACTAGAAAATTTTCCATCCGAAACCCGAACCCGACTTAAGAACCCTAATAAAAATTTTAAAATACCAAAGTTTTTTTAATATGTCTAAACCCGAAAACCCAAAATCCAAAAAATCTGGAAAACCGTGAACTAAACCCAAAAAAACTCGAACCCAAACTGAACAGAAATTTTCAAAAAAAAAACCCGAAAACAGTTTGATTTAAATTAGACGTATTGTATTTCACTATTGGAAATTTTGAAAATATCATTCGATCAAAGTCTATCGATTTGGTATTATTGATAGATTATGTTAAATTTTTTCTTTTTTGCAGATTTAATAGCTGGAAAACGGAAGTTTTCTAAACCATCGGTTTGTTTTAAGTTATTATTCTTGTATCCAAACAGTTTTTTTCCATTTATTCTTCTATCCAAATAGATTTTTCTCTTATTCTTATATCCAAACAACTTTTCTTTCCATTTATTCTCTATCCAAATAGATGTTTATCTTATTATTGTATCCAAACGTTAGAATGTACTTCTCAATTAATAATATAAAGATAATTTTGTTTGTGTTTTTACCTTTATCATTGCATGAAATATTGTAGTTGTTGTGACATATATCTTCGTCTGCATACAAACAATTTTTGGTAAACCGGTGTACTCTAGGGGCAACAAGAACTAAATTACATCTCCTCAGATAATATTCTAACGGAGATGATATCTAGAAAATGTGCAAACACTTCAATATAATCAGTATACGTGCAAGCCAGATGCAAGATCTTGTGGTACAGCGAGATTGGTTGTTTGAAGATTCAGAACAACAACCTAAAGATATTGCATTTGGTTTGCAATTATATTGATTCTATTGAAGTGTCTGCACCTCTTCTAGATTTCATCTCCGTTGAATATTATGTAACTTAGTCCTTGTTGCCCCTAGAGTACATCAGTTTAGCAAAAATTGTTGAGCTGCAGACGAAGATATATGTCACATCAGCTACAACATTTCATGCAATGATAAGGTAAGAATACAAACAATTATATATATATATATATATATATATATATATATATATATATATATCGACATAGAAAGTGTTTTGAGGGCTGGATGGGAGAATATGTCTGGGGACAGGTTGGGTGCAATATCTAACCAATGGCGACCACCACTGTAACATCCATAAACCAAAAATTGGGAATTTCGTCGGTTCAATTTAAGTGATTTGGTTTGGGCCGGTTTAGTGGAGAAAGCCCTAAAATCAAGTTTAAAGAGTGCAGCCGTCTTCTCTTTGGGAATTTTCGAGCTCAGAGGCTGCAGAGGAGAAAAGTGGAGTTTTTGGAGAGATTTTCGAGTTTTACTGTTCATCGGGTACTGTTCATCGGTTACTGTTCATCGGGTACTGTTCATCGGGTACTGTTCATCGGGGGTACTGTTCATCGTCGGGATTTCCGCACTGTTCATTGTCTTTCCTTCAGTTTCAATCCATTGTCAAGGTGAGTGCATGACTGTGGGTCCGCGATTTGCTAGATTAGATTTGGTTTATGATTGTTCTTGATGAGTTTTTGTGTTTAATTGTTATTTCATGATATTTTGGTTGTTTATGTGGTGAATTGTGTGTTTGTGTGGTTAAATCTGGTTTAATTGAATTTAATTGATTTGATTCTGGTTTATCTTGGTTCAATTGAATTTAATTGGTTTATATTGGTTTAATTGAATTTAATTGATTTGATTCTGGTTTATCTTGGTTCAATTGAATTTAATTGGTTTATATTGGTTTAATTGAATTTAATTGGTTAATGGAATTAAATAGATTTAATTCGGATTTAATTAATTATATTTTATTTAATTAATTGGTTTATAATTATTTTAAAATATGGAAAATTATTATTTAATTATGAGAATTATTTAATAATTGAGAAATTGAGTTTTAATTATTAAAAATTATTTAATAATTGGAAAATGGTATTTAATAATTATTGGAGTTTATAAATATTATTAAATATCTAGTAAATTGCGTAAATGGCTCGTAGGCAGAGTGATTGCCTCACTAAGTATTTATTAAATACTTACGCAACTCCATTCCAATGTGTTGCAGGTAAAAGATTTGTGTGATCGCGGAATCAAGGCTGAAGAGGGGGATGATAGGATGTTTACTGTTTTATTGTTTTGCATTATTTTGCTAGACTTGTTTAATTATTATTTGCTTCCGCTGAGCTGATTTATTTGTTATTGATATTTTATTTATTTAATTTATTTTTAAGACCTTCGCTAGAATTGATTAATATTTATAAAAAAAAAAAAATGTTGGTTGTTTCAACCACAGCTTATAAGCGTGATGTATGACAGATAAAGTCCACCTGAGCATCTTCTGAGCTGGAAAAAAGTTTGCAAACTGAAGAATAAAGGTGGGTTAGGGATACGATCAGCATCAGAAATTAACAAATCACTGTTGGCAAAAGCTGGATGGAGACTAATCCATGATGAGGACAGTCTATGGGCAAAAGTGTTACACAATAAATACAACGTGAAGGATATCCATGATCCAAGCTGGTTGATAGCTAAAGGCACATGGTCTTCGACTTGGAGGAGTGTGAGTGTGGGGCTGCGAGAAGTGGTTATTCTGGGTATAAGTTGGATTATTGGGGATGGGAAGTTGGTGAGGTTCTGGCAGGATAAGTGGTTGATTGATAAACCACTGGGCGAAGTAACTACAATGGCCTTACCAAATGGCTTTGAGGATCTTTGAGTATGTGACTATTGGAGGCATGGGACAAGGTGGCTAGTTGCGTGTATAGCACTGTTTGTTCCCTCCACTCTGATTACACATCTATGGGCCTTGGTTGTTGATAGTGTCACAGGTGCTAGCGATCGCTTGTCTTGGGGAGAGAGTTGGGATGGACAGCTTTTGGTAAGTTCTGCATTCCGATACAGGATGACATGCCGCGACAAGATTTTGGGAACCTCTTTAACCGAGTTTGGCGTGTGGTGGTGGTACCCGAACTAGGGTTATGCTTTATAAAAAATGTAATGAGCCTTAAATATTTTACATTGCTCTGATGGTCCATATAGGCCCGTAATTATAGACAATTTTCTATAGATTTAGATTTTTATTCTTATTATATTTGTGAATTTTCCTTTGTACTTTTTTAGAAACATGGCGCGAGTAGAGAGGCTAATACGATGGACATATCCAGACCAAGGTTGGGTGAAGCTCAACACGGACGACACATCAAGAGGAAATCCCGGCATAACGGCTGCAGGAGGAGTGATTCGTAATGCAAGGGGGCGTGGTGTAAAGGCTTTGCGATAAACATTGGATCATGCACAGCTCCATTAGCGGAGCTGTGGGGGTGTATATTATGGTTTGTTGATTGTGTGGGAAAGTAAGGCCCATAGAGTAGAAGTCGAGGTGGATTCAGAGATGGCGGTTGGTTTTCTTAAGACAGGGATCAGTGAGGTGTATCCGCTATCGTTTCTGATGCGTCTGTGCCATGGTTTTATATCAAGGGACTGAAAGTTCGTATTTCTCATGTGTATAGGGAAGCTAATCGCCTTGCGGACGGACTAGTTAACTATGCCTTTTTTTGGCATTGAATTTTCACTCACGACGAATATGGTTGTAAGTTCTTATTAGCTGAATAATAGTATTGGGAGCCATAATTAAGCTTATAGCCATAAGAGAAAAAAAATTAGTTTTTTGTATAAAGTAGAATGTGAAGTTACACCATTGGCCCTTTAATTTTCTTAGGCATGAAGATAACTATACTACATAAATGTAAAATAATTGAGACTAAACTGTATTATAAATCCTAAACACTACATTGCAAATTCTAAACCCTAAATACAAAATCAAAACTCTAAACTCAAAAAACTAAACTCTAAACCCAAAAATAAAAGCAATCATCACTAAACCCAAAATCCAAAAACCTAAACCGTAAACCTAAACTCATTTCCTAAATCCTAAACTCAAAAACTAAATAAAAACACTAAATCCATAAACTACACCCTAAATCTAAAAACATAAACCTAAACATAAAATCTATACCTTAAACACAAAAATAAATCATGAATCTAAACCCTAAACCCTAAACTCACAATCTAAACCCTAAACCCAGAATCCTAAACCCTAAAACACAAAAATCTAAACCCTAAACTCAAAATCTAAACCCTAAACCAAAAAAAAACTAAACAATAAATCCTAAAGCCAAAATGTAAACCATAAATCCAAAATTTAAACCATAAACCCAAAAAACCAGACCCTAAACGCAAAAAAGTTAAAACCTAGTTTAAGAAAATATTTCATTCTATTCCACATAAACGAATGAATAGTACGGTACATATTTTCACCCAAAATAACAAAGGCTAAAATGGGTATTATTGTAGAAATTACAGCTTGTATCCTAGCAAAAAAAAAAACTAATGGTTAGATTGTTAATTCAGCTTGTCAATATGATTATTCAGTATAGTTTCCCAATCCTAAACATACATTTTCATTTTGTTTTATTTTGAAGAAAATAATCTTTATGCAGAAAATATTACAATTGTTATGGGCTATTTAGTGGATGCCCATTAGGAAGCCCAATTCTAGAATGTTCTTACTTTGTCCCCAAGTTGTACTTCTTCTCCAAGTTAAACCCTACTTGTATTCCTATATAAAGGATTCATTATTTATGGAATAAGAATACAACCAATTCCTCTTCTCTTGTTCTCTCTTCTTCTATAACACGTTATCAGCACGAGCTCTAGCCGTCTAAACTAGAAGGTATAATTTTAGATATTTTTCTTGTTCATAGATATTAAGATCCATGTTTATACATCGACTCATGGTTCTTAATATCAAATCATAAGATCACATATATTGATACATCCGATCTCCGTTATCGTGAGCCATCTATATGAGACTTATTGATTCGCTTATATTGCTTGTTATACAATCATACGAGATGTTAATTCATCACGTTTACTCTTGCTTTTTCTTTTATGCGAATTTCTAAGAGTTTTATAATAAGAGTTTCATTCATATCACGTTTAAGCTTTATCACTATTCCTGCAATTCTCTTATTTTATAATATAGATTTGCATCTCTTCGTTTTGTTTGTCTCTATCTCGGCACTTTTATTCTATTATAATTCGAACTTGAATTCTATGCATACTAATAGATCTGTTCTCATTAATCTAAATCTGAAACTCATTAATCTTAATTATGTTCATATTGTTTAAACACATAGTTTGCATCAAGTTCATAAACTGAATATTATTCACTGAATTTTATTTTGCACACTCATTTATTTTTCATTGTTCATATCCGAAATTCATAGATCTGAATTATATTCATATTGTTTGCATCAAGTTCATCAAACTTAATATTACTCATTGAATTATTAGTTTATTCCCTATCTTAATTCATTATACTGAACACTGTTAGGGTCTTTAGATAATTAAATCCCGTATCTTGCACAATCCCGTTTTTGCATATTGTTCTATTTCATTAAAGTATAATATTCAATACATCTTAGCCTGTTAACCCATTATTTGCACGGCCCAATATTCGCACGACTTATTATCTGCACTTTACATGTTAGCCCACTGATTGCATATTGTTATTGCACGACCCATACTATTATCATTATTTGCACGGCCCATTATCAGTATATTGTTTGCACGGCCCATTATTAACATATTGCTTGCACACCTATTATTAATCCAATGTTTGCACGGCCCATTATTTCTGTATTGCATTAAAAAAAAGAATTTTATGCATTCACATTAATTTGAGTTTCGTATATTTATTATTTTCAAGTCATTTATATATGTCCTGAAGACATGATTTATTTACACATGTCCTGAAGACATGACTTGTACATTTATGCAAATTTTCTTATTATTTTATTTTACATGTCCTGCAGACATGTCGAAGCTCATGAGTTTGGAATTTGAGGCCCTTGACATTAGTGGGGACAATTACCTTGCATGGGCATTAGATGGTGAAATTCACTTGAGTGCAAAGGAGCTTGGTGAAACCATCAAGGAAGGAAATAAGGCTGAAGCCAAAGACAATGCAAAGGCTATGATATTCCTTCGCCATCATCTCCATGAGGATCTCAAAAATGAGTACTTGAATGTGAAAGATCCACAAATCCTCTGGAATAGTCTCAAGGAAAGGTATGATCATCAGAAAACTGTGATTTTACCCAGAGCTCGTTATGATTGGACTCATTTGAGGCTTCAAGACTTCAAGTCTGTAGCAGAGTACAACTCAGCCTTGTTTAAGATCACCTCCAAGTTGGAGTTGTGTGGAGAGAAAATCACGGAGGCAGATAAGTTAGAGAAAACATTCTCTACTTTTCATGCCAACAATGTTGTCCTGCAGACACAATACCGTGAAAAGGGATTCCAGAAGTATTCCCAGTTGATATCATGTCTCCTTGTTGCTGAGCAGAATAACGAGCTGCTGATGAAAAACCATGGTCTGCGTCCAACTGGTTCTGCTCCATTCCCTGAAGCGAATGTGACAACCTTTGATAGGACAGAACAAAACCACAGTGGTCGAGCTACAATCGTGGTCGTGGTCGTGGTCGCGGTCGTGGTCGTGGTCGTGACAATGGTCATGGAACTAGAAGAGACTATGGTCGAGGTCGAGGAGTTTCCTTCAAAAACTCACACTCTAACCAAAGAGGGGGAAACAGAGGTGGCAACAGACAAGCACCACAAGCAAATGTGTGTCACCGATGTGGAGGAAAAGACCATTGGTCTCGTTTGTGCCGTACACCAAAGCATTTGGTTGAGCTGTATCAACAGTCTCTGAAACCAAATGGAAAGAATGTGGAAACAAACATGGTGTTCGAAGATGGAGAAGATGACTTTGGCTCATTCAGTGAGGCCACTCACATGGAAATTGCTGATCTCATTGCCCCTGCAGGGCAGAATTGATTTTATTTATTTTATTTCAAGACATTTGTTGCATTATTTATTGGTTTTTGGCTTTTGGTGTTTTGGCTTTCTTTTAATTGTTCTTTACGAATTTATGAGTTGTTATTTTTAATATTATTTAATTAAGTTATTTACTTATTTGATTTTAATTTATCTTATTTATTTATTTTGAAGAACAATGAATGGTGGAGATTTATGCTTGGCAGACAGTGCAACTAGTCACACTATTTTGAAAACTAAGAGATATTTCTCTCATTTGATAATGAAAGAAGCCAGTGTGAGCACTGTAATGGGTAGTGCAAATATAATTGAAGGCTCCGGAAGAGCATATATAGTATTGCCTATGGGAACAAAACTCGAAATTTCTGATGCGCTATACTCGCCTAAATCTAACAGAAATTTACTGAGTTTCAAAGATATTCGCAGAAATGGATATCATATTGAAACTATGAGTGAAGGAGATGTTGAATATCTTCATATCACAAGTAATACCCAAGGCTCTAAAAAGATTGTGGAAAGACTACCTGCTTTCTCCACTGGATTGTACCATACTAATATTAGTACAATCGAAGCAAATGTTGTAGTAAACCAGAAGTTTACTGAAAACTTTATCGTTTGGCATGACCGGTTAGGCCATCCCGGTACAACAATGATGCGAAAGATAATCACTAATTCGTGTGGACATTCATTACAGAACCAGAAGATTCTGCCTAATGACTTCACATGTGCTGCTTGTTCACAAGGCAAATTGATTATAAGGCCTTCACCAGCCAAGATAACCTCAGAATCAATCAATTTTCTGGAACGCATACAAGGAGATATTTGTGGACCGATTCACCCACCATGTGGAACCTTTAGATATTTTATGGTTCTAATTGACGCATCAACAAGATGGTCACATGTATCCTTGTTATCAACTCGCAACCTGGCGTTTGCGAGATTACTTGCTCAGTTGATTAGACTACGAGCACATTTTCCAGATTTTCTCTAAAGGCAATTCGACTTGATAATGCTGGTGAATTCACATCTCAAGCTTTTAATGATTATTGCATGTCAATTGGGATAAGTGTTGAACATCCTGTAGCTCATGTTCATACACAAAATGGTTTAGCTGAATCGTTAATAAAACGTCTCCAAATGATTGCTAGACCATTACTTATGAGATCCCAACTCCCAGTCTCTGCTTGGGGACATGCCATATTGCATGCAGCAACACTAATTCGCATCAGGCCAACGAGTAATCATAAGTTCTCCCCATCACAATTGATACTGGGTCAAGAGCCAAATATATCCCATCTCAAAATTTTTGGATGTGCCGTATATGTCCCAATTGCTCCACCACAGCGTTCTAAAATGGGACCCCAGAGAAGGCTGGGTATATATGTTGGATATGATTCTCCATCAATCATTAAGTATCTAGAGCCATCCACAGGGGATCTATTTAAAGCTCGTTTTGCAGACTGTCATTTTAATGAATCAGTCTTTCCGACATTAGGGGGAGAAAGTAAACAGCTGGGAAAAGAACTTAGCTGGAATGAATTATCATTAAATTATCTTGATCCTCGGACTAAAGAATGTGAATTAGAAGTCCAAAAGATAATTCATTTACAGAATTTAGCAAATCAGTTGCCTGAAGCATTTGCTGACCCAAAAAGAGTGACTAAGTCACATATACCAGCTGAAAATGCTCCGATTAGAATCAATGTCTCAGAAGGACATAATCAAATTGCTACTGAGTCTAAGGCACGCCAGAAGCGTGGTAGACCTATTGGTTCCAAAGATAAAAATCCTCGAAAAAGAAAAGGAGCAGAAATTGGCACAAGTGAAATCGAGGAAACTATGAATGAAAAATCTCCAGAAGAGACTTTACACATGACAGAAATTCAGGTACCTGAGAATGAAGAGATCTCAACAAATTATGTCATGTCTGGAATAACATGGAACCGTAAGCAAATCGACGTCGATGAAATTTTTGCATACAATGTAGCAATTGATATTATGGATGAGGATCATGAACCAACATCTATTGCAGAGTGTACACAAAGAAATGATTGGCCAAAATGGAATGAAGCAATAGGTGCAGAAAGAACATCTCTTGGAAAGAGAGAAGTGTTTGGACCAGTAGTCCGCATACCTAAAGGTGTCAAACCAGTAGGACACAGATGGATTTTTGTGAGAAAGAAGAACGAAAATGGTGAAATATCCAGATACAAAGTTCGCTTAGTTGCACAAGGTTTCTCACAAATTCCTGGAGTTGATTATGAAGAGACATACTCTCCTGTGGTGGATGCAACTACGTTCAGGTTCCTTATTACTTTGGCAATAAGAGAAGGACTTGACTTACGCTGATGGATGTAGTAACAGCCTACCTGTACGGACCACTGGATACTGATATTTACATGACAGTTCCAGAAGGATTCCCACTGCCTGAAGCAGTAAATCTGAATCCAGAAATCAATACTGCATAAAACTGAATCGATCTCTTTATGGATTGAAACAATCAGGGCGTATGTGGTATAACCGCCTTAGTGAGTATTTGTTAAAGGAAGGTTATAAAAATGACCCTGTTAGTCCATGTATCTTTATAAGAAGATTCGGGCAAGGATTTGTCATTATTGCAGTATATGTTGATGATTTGAATATTATTGGAACTCCTGCAGAGATTTCATATACAGTGGACTATCTGAAGAAAGAATTTGAGATGAAGGATCTCGGAAAAACAAAATTTTGTTTGGGTTTGCAGATTGAACATCTTAAAGATGGAATTCTACTGCACCAGAAAACATACACAGAGAAAATCCTGAAAAGATTCTCTATGGATCAAGCGCACCCACTGAGCAGTCCAATGATTGTAAGGTCACTTGATGTGTTAAAAGGACCCTTTCCGCCCTCGAGAAAACAATGAAGATGTTCTTGGTCCTGAAGTACCATACTTAAGTGCAATAGGGGCATTGATGTATCTTGCTAGTCACACAAGACCTGATATATCATTTGCAGTAAATCTATTGGCAAGATTTAGCTCATGTCCCACTCGAAGGCATTGGAATGGGATTAAACATATATTTCGTTACCTTCAAGGCACGAAAGATATGGGTCTTTTCTTCTCTAACACATGCAAGGAAGACTTAATTGGATTTGCTGATGCAGGATATTTATCTGATCCTCATAATGCTCGATCACAAACTGGATATGTGTTCACATGCGGAGGTACTGCTATTTCTTGGCGTTCTATGAAGCAGACTCTTGCAGCTACTTCTTCTAACCATGCAGAGATTTTAGCTATTCACGAAGCTAGTCGCGAGTGCGTGTGGTTAAGATCTGTAGTTCAACACATCCGAGAAGATTGTGGTCTTTCTGCAGGAAAAGAAGCTCCAACGGTCATGTATGAAGACAATGCTGCATGTATCGCACAACTGAAGGATGGGTACATCAAAGGCGATAGAACGAAGCATATTCTACCAAAGTTCTTCTTCACCCATGAATTGCAGAAGAATGGTGATGTACGTGTTCTGCAGATTCGTTCAAGTGAAAATTTGGCGGACTTATTCACCAAGGCGCTTCCCACCACTACTTTCAAGAAGTTAACTCACATGATTGGATTGCGTCGTCTCAAGATCTCAACGGATGTCTCATTAGGGGGAGTAACTGCGCGCTACACTCTTTTTCCCTTAACTATGGTTTTTCCCATTGGGTTTTCCTAGTAAGGTTTTTAATGAGGTAGCATCTTATGCGCGTTACAAGTTATCACATTTTAATGGACATCCAAGGGGGAGTGTTATGGGCTATTTAGTGGATGCCCATTACGAAGCCCAATTCTAGAATGTTCTTACTTTGTCCCCAAGTTGTACTTCTTCTCCAAGCTAAACCCTACTTGTATTCCTATATAAAGGATTCATTATTCATGGAATAAGAATACAACCAATTCCTCTTCTCTTGTTCTCTCTTCTTCTATAACAACAATTTGATTTACGATGAAAGTGTGATATATTGTGTAGATGAAATTTTTTAATTATGGAAAATATCTTATGTTTTGATAAAAGAAAAGATAAAAAAAAGAAAAACTTACCGGCTGAGAAAACTCTGCACGGCCACCAACGATGGCGATTTGGTGTTAATCAGTGACATAACACATCCATATGCGTTCCGTCCACTATTCACATGAGAATCAGAATAAGAAATTTGAATTACCACTGGAGAGTATTAGCTCTCTATTCTTCTAGCCCCTTTCCTTGATGTCTTTGACTTCTTCCCCATCTTTGTCTTTCTCTTTCTCGGTGGCGTATCATAATATATATATATATAAAAAGGTATATGGAGAAGAAGAAAACTAGGGTTATACTTTATAAGAAATGTAATGGGCCTTAAATATTTTAAATTGCTCTGATGGTCCATATAGGCCCGTAATTATTAGACAATTTTCTATCCTAAATTTTGATTTTTTATTCTTAGTATATTTGCGAATTTTCCTTTGTAGTATTTTTTGTATTCGTTGATTTGAATTATAATGATTTTGTGTTAAAATTTTGAGTTAATCCAACCCACACTAAAAAAAATACATTATGTCTTTTTTATTATTGAGATGTTAACTCTAATACTTAAATTTGGCTTTCTATTTCTAAAGGTTTAACATATTTTAATATTTGGTTTTGTCCAAAAAAAAACCTCAAACTAAATTATTTTTGCAAGAAAAACTCTCACCTCAAAAAAATGCAAGTCAAACCACTCACCTCAAAAGTAACCCGCAATATAACCCCTGCCTATATTGATGACGTGGCATTGTCAGAATCGTTTTTAAAAAATAGGTTTTTATGCAAAAAAAACCTCAAACTATTTTGTTTTGCAAAAAGAGCCCTCGTATCAAAAAGCTGCGTTTTGATAAGCATGCATTTCGGTTTTTGCAACGGGAATAAGAAATTTGGTAAACCAAAGATGATACCCTAAGTATTCCCTTATTATAACGAGACGAGAAATAACGGGAATGGGAAGAGAACGAGAATTTTGAGAATAAAAAATTAATTCCCAAAGTCTTAGTAAATCAGGAAACAAAAGATATTTTTGGGAAATTACGGGAAAATACGGGAAAATATGAAAATAATACGGGAAATTATGAGAAAATATGAGAAAAATTGGGATATTTAAGAAGAAAATATTATGTTTTTCAATTTTTTAATATTTTTTAAACGGGAAAATCGGGAAATCTTGTACCCTTTCCGAACCCTTCTTTTACCCGTTTGAATAAAAGAAATGCTCTCAAACGGGTTAGGGAAGGGTTCGGAAAGGGTACTACGGGATATTTTCCGAATTTCGCGTTAAAAATTTAAAAATTGAAAATTATATATATTTTTTGAATATCCCAATGTTCCCCATATTTTTCCATAATTTCCTATATTTTCCATATTTTCTGTATTTTTCCCGTAAATTCTCAAAATATCTTCAATTTCCCGACTTAGTAAGACTTCGGGAATTAATTTTTAATTCTCAAATTTCCCGTTTTCTTCTCATTCCCAATATTTCCCGTCTTGTTATAATAAGGAAATACTTTGGGTATCATCTTTGGTTTCCCAAATTTCTCATTTGGGTCCCATTTCCGTTAATTCCACCGAAATGCATTGGGCAGCTTTTTGACATGAGGGTTCTTTTTGCAAAAAAAATAGTTTGAGGTTTTTTTGCACAAAAATCTATTTAAAAAAAAATCTGATAATGTCATGTCATCAATATAGGCAGGGGCTATATTACGGGTGACTTTGGAGGTAAGTGGTTTGACTTCCATTTTTTTTTAGGTGAGGGTTTTTCTTGCAAAAATAATTTAGTTTGGGGTTTTTTGCTTGTTTAGCTCCATGAAACTAGTCACCATTTGACTCGTGAAAAGAATTATTAAACATGATGTAAAATCATATTTTGATTTGTTATATGATAAAAATACATATATTGTTTTATGTGAATGGGCTTTGAGCATAATATAATTGATTCTTTTGTACCATTTTAATTTTGTAAATTAAAATTTTACTTTAAAACAGACATGTCACAATTTTTAGAAAAAATTTAGCTCTTGCTTATAATTTTTGTCAGCTTTCTACAATCTTAACTAATTTATCTTGTTTATTTTATTTTATAGTTTGTAAACACATTACACTGTTTATAAAAAGAAAATTTCTCCATATAATTTTGATTAATCAGGTAACTGTATAATATTTCAAGTTAAATATATCATTAACTTTTCTTCAAGTTACACAACAATTTAAATTAATTTTTAATATTTCTGTATCACAGATTTTCTATTTCTTAATTAACTTTTTGTGTATTTTTCGTATTTTTTATGTTTTTAATTTGAATATATAGAAAGAAATATGATAGTCATGTATTACACAAAAAGAAAAAAAAAATCAATAAGTATCTTAAATATAGTTTAATTTTCTTTTACTGATGTGTACATCCTACATGGAGAGAAAACCCCCTAATTATATATAAAATTCCTCTTCTATTGCTTTTATAATTTTTCAAAATTATGTAATCTGATTTAAAATTTATATACGTAGACAACATAGTAATTCAACTTACAACATACATTTAACATTTTTTCCATAAATTTGACAATCAACAATTAACTTATATTTAGGAATATCTAAATCCAAAATATGATAAGAAAAAACTACATTTTCATTTTCTAGACAACCATTGGCCTCACTATCTAACATGGTATTGGCAATTAAAGCATTCATTTTAAAAATCCTAAACAAGTTGACCGATTGGCTATATAAACATGTCTTCTTTTTTTTTTTTTTTTTTTTTTTTTTTTTTTTTTTGTAAAAGGATATTGCTATATAAACATGTCAATGCTATAAACCCCAAATGTGTGAAATTAATTTGTATAGCAAACTCGGAAACAATTTCCAAATATACACAAAGAAAAAAAAAAATCCTATTTCTAGAAAAAACACTAAAAACAGAACCGAGAAACAGAGACGAAGAAGCAAAGAGAGATCGTCTTCTTCTGCAACCTCTCGATAATCAAACCAAAACTCACGAGAAAAGTTTCAAAAATTTGAACTCAAAAAAATTCGAACCATTTCAGAATCTCTCTGTTTCAATGGCGGATTTGCTGAGAAGAGTAAAATCGATGAAGAGGAGGGACAAGAGCAATCCACCATCCCTAATCCTCGGCAAATACCAAATGGGAAGGCTTCTCGGCCACGGAACCTTCGCAAAAGTCTACCTCGCGCGAAACGCGGCGTCCGGAGAGAGCGTCGCGATCAAAGTGATCGACAAAGAGAAAGTCCTCAAGAGCGGTCTAATCGCGCATATCAAACGCGAGATCTCGATCCTCCGCCGCGTCCGCCACCCGAACATCGTGCAGCTCTTCGAGGTCATGGCGACGAAATCGAAGATCTACTTCGTCATGGAGTACGTCAAAGGAGGCGAGCTCTTCAACAAAGTCGCCAAAGGGAGGCTGAAAGAGGAGATCGCCCGGAAATATTTCCAGCAGCTGATCTCCGCCGTGTCGTTCTGCCATTTCCGCGGCGTTTACCACCGCGATCTGAAACCGGAGAATCTCCTCTTAGACGAGAACGGAAACCTGAAAGTCTCCGATTTCGGACTCAGCGCCGTCTCCGATCAGATCCGTCAGGACGGGCTTTTCCACACCTTCTGCGGCACGCCTGCTTACGTGGCGCCGGAGGTTCTGGCGAGGAAAGGCTACGACGGAGCTAAAGTCGACATCTGGTCTTGCGGAGTGATCCTCTTCGTGTTGATGGCCGGGTTTCTTCCGTTCCATGATCGGAATGTTATGGCCATGTATAAGAAGATCTACAGAGGAGACTTCCGGTGTCCGAGATGGTTTCCGGTTGAGATGAACCGGTTATTGATTCGAATGCTCGAGACTAAACCGGAGAGACGGTTCACGATGCCGGAGATTATGGAGACTAGCTGGTTCAAGAAAGGGTTTAAGCATATTAAATTCTACGTCGAAGACGATCATAAGCTCTGTAATGTCGACGACGACGATGAGATTGAATCGGTGGAATCGGTTTCCGGGAGATCGTCGACGGTTTCGGAATCGGAATTCGAGAGAAGACCGGTTTCGATGCCTAGACCGGCGAGTTTGAATGCGTTCGATTTGATTTCGTTCTCGCCCGGTTTTGATCTGTCCGGTTTGTTTGATGATGATGGTGAAGGGTCTAGGTTTGTCTCCGGAGCTCCGGTGAATAAGATCATATCGAAGCTGGAGGAGATAGCGAGAGTTGTGAGCTTTACGGTGAGGAAGAAAGATTGTAAAGTGAGTCTTGAAGGGTCGAGGGAAGGTAGCGTGAAAGGTCCGTTGACGATTGCGGCGGAGATATTTGAGTTGACGCCGGCTTTGGTTGTTGTTGAAGTGAAGAAGAAAGGAGGTGATAAAATGGAGTACGATGAGTTTTGTAATAAAGAGTTGAAACCGAAGCTGCAGAATTTGAGTAACGAGAATGGACAATCGGTTTCTGCGTCTCGTTCTTTGCCTTCTTTTCTACTTTCTGATACTGATTAGGAAGATGAACAAAAATTGTTATATTCTTTTTTTGTTTTTTGGGATTTGTGATTTGTGAATATGTTTGTTGGTTATAGGGGTTTGGTGATTTTTTTAGATTTGTGAATTCATGCGAGTTTTTTTTAAGTTTTAACTAATTTTGATGTTCTTGTGCTTTGAATATGTAAGTGACATTAGACTTTTAGAGATAAAGAGGGTGTGAGGTATTAATATTGATGTATTATAAAAGGAAACAGAGATTGAAATAAGCAAGTTGTTCGGTTGATGATCTTTCAAATTTAAGTTTTTTCTTCAGTCTAGACATTTTCGATGTAGAGATCAAATGCGTAAAAGCATTTTGAAGCAGGCTCAAAAACCAGGTTCACACACACAAACCAAACCGCAATTTTGGACCAAGTTCTCAAGCAGGAATCACTAAACCGCAAACCAAATCATGATCAACTTTATGCATGATACACAAAAGACTTGTCTTATTTGGTTTGAATCAGGCCTATGAATCAAACATGGACTTTAATATCTTAATCATGATCTGTAATTCAAGATCATCAACCATAGAGTCCATCAATCTCGGGTGATCAGCCCAAACGTCCAAATCCATTACTTTTTTTATGATTTTAAGCTTATAATTGAAATTTGCATACAGAATTATAATAGAAAAATACCTCAAACTACTACTTTTTATTTTTTTCAAAAATCTATTGTTGTTTCACTTGTTTTCTCACTTTATTGATAATCATTTTTGTGTGTAAATATTGACCTAACAAAAAACAATAATCGATGATAATTGCAGCCAATCCATTATCATAAATCTCACACCTTACACACCAAGACTAACAGGATTTTACCCCAAAAAAGATTAACAGGAAAAGAAAGATGAAAACATTTTTCATCACATTTAACAATCTTTCTCATTGTTGCTAGCTATTGTCGTTGTTTCCTTGCCATTTCCAAACAATATCTTCCAAAGAAGGCTTAAGCTCAAGCTCACAAAATTTCCTATACTCCATTGTATCACCTCCACTTTTCTTAAACTCAACCATATGAAAACTCTTTGTCACTTCAAATATTTTCACATCAATCGCAAGTTGTCTTTTTCTTCCTTCTGTTCTATCTTCCATCTTCACTCCTACATTGTTCTTTGTCAAACTGAATCTTTCACTACTCGCAGCTATCTCCTCGAATTTTGCTACTATCTCTTTTGCTTCCTTCTTTGTTGTAAACATCGACTCTGATCTCTCTTCTTTCTCAAACAAACCTGAGAGATCGAATCCTTGAGACAGCGAAGAGATGAGGTCAAACGCGTTGTAACACATCGGTTGAAAACTAAAGGCTGCGTGCACGTCACTTATTAGCGATTCGATCTGATTACTGTCGGGAGTTTTAGGCGTTTCGATCTTCTTGAAACCTTTTTGAAACCAAGAATTCTCCAATATTTTGTCAATCTTGATTCTTGAATTAGGGTTAGGATCAAGAATCCGAGACAGTAGCTTCTTGACCTCCGGAGGAAACCAATTAGGACATCTGAATTCGCCTTTTGTGATCTTCCGATACATTTCAACAAGATTTTGTTCGTGAAACGGAAGAAATCCAGCCAATAACACATACAACACAACCCCACAAGACCAAACATCGGCTTTAGCTCCATCGTAACCTTTCTGGCCGATCACTTCAGGCGCCACATATGCAGGTGTACCACATGTCGTGTGAAGCAAGCCATCTTGTTTTCTTGACTCTCTCAACGCGCTAAGCCCGAAATCAGATATTTTCAAATCACCATTTTCGTCTAGAAGCAGATTTTCCGGTTTGAGATCGCGGTGGTAAACTCCGCGACTATGGCAATAATCAATTGCTCCGATCAGTTGCTGGAAATATTTTCGAGCAATATCTTCTTTAAGCTTTCCTTTAGAGACTTTATCGAAAAGCTCACCACCTTTAACGTATTCCATGACGAAGTAGATCTTGGTTTTGCTCGCCATGACTTCGTGGAGGAAGACAACGTTTGGGTGACGTACCAGACGCATCACAGAGATTTCTCTCTTGATTTGATCGATTAATCCGCCTTTCGAAATTTTTTGTTTGTCGATTACCTTGATCGCTACGCTTTCTCCTGTTTTTAGGTTGCGTGCGTGGTACACTTTCGCAAATGTGCCTTGACCTAGAAGACGACCCAATTCGTACTTTTTCATCAATATGATGCCGTTTTTATCCATTTGGCCCTGATTTGTTTAAAGCTTGTTTTGGAGAACAAGGAAAACTTGATGAAAGCAGAGGATGAGCTATTGAATAAAATCGTTTTGGAATGTTTCTTCCATAACTTAAAGAAAAAAGAGAGAGCTTTTTAGCCAAAAAAAAAAGTAAGAGAGAGCTCAGATTCTGGAAATGTTCATGAGAGGGAAAAAAAGAGAATAATTTTAATGTATTTTTTTGTTCTTGGGGTCTCAGTTTTGCATATATAAAAATAGTAATGCTAAAATACAAGAGGGAAAAAATATTGATTTGTGTGGTTATGGTGATGAATGGAGTAGGCTCTCCTAATTATAGTGGAGCGTAGTTGTTAATATTCAAAAATGTTATATTTTGGGGGATATCTTCTAGATTTGTGAATATAATATGGATTTGAATGGTTGCCCATAAATCTTGAGATGCTTGTTACTTGTCGCATTACATAACATGCCTCGATCTGAAAATTAGTGGCGGAGGAATCTTGGAGTTGCATGCAATACAAATATAGGGGACTCCATGTGTCATGGTCACATCACGTGGGTGCTGGTGCTTATAAAAATAAGATTGGAGTGGGGTTTAATTATAGGATTTGATTTTTGTGAGGCAAAATATTGGTATATATAGATTCTAGTTTTTTTTTTTTTTAACATCTAGATTCTAGTTCAAATAATTAGCATGAAAGATTTTAGGTTTTAGAAAGAAACATTCGATAAACCTAATTTATAGTTACAATTTTGTGTTTGTTTTTTGTTTGGCAAAATGTTGATATTCATAATTGAAACGATATTACATGAGGTTGTGTAGATACTAACTAAAACAATATATCGCTGTACGTAAAGTAACAAATGGTGGAATGTTTTGATTTTAAATAAATTGATGAAAAATAGTTTTAACGGTGCATCACAAGACTCACAATCATCAGTACTCAGATTGGAATTCTGTCGTTTGTCGGTCGGTACGTAGAAAATCAATACGTACTCAGACTGGCTTGACGTTCTTCGTTGATTATTCAAACACGGTCCACGTATAAATAGAAAGTTTTTCTGATAGTAGTATAAAATATTTTTTTGGAAATGTAAGCTTGTGAACCCTGTAATTTCATTCCTTTCCAAAATCTAAATAAAAAAGAAAACTGAATATCTCAATATATATAGACTACTAGGTGGTTGGCCCGCACATAACATTTTTAAAATAATAAATTTAATCAAATTTTTAATTGCATAAGTAATATAATTTAAGATGATTGACTTTTAAACTTATATAGATATACAAAATTAATTTGATAAAAATCATTTAAGTTTCATTACGTTTTGGATGAGTTATTTATATACTATATTAGTCAATTTCATATATTTTGTATTTTTTGAATATTTTATTATGTTTTTATTTTATTTTAGTGCACAAAACCATATCAATTATTTTAAATTTTTCTTTAACAGCTTTAAGTTCTTATTCGATCATAATTTTTATCTTTCGATTTTTCTAATTTTTTTTATTGTTATATTCTTCTATTGTTTTTTTTTTCTTATTTCATTTGTTTTGTTTGTCATAAAAATAAAATATTAGATGAGGAAAGAGCAAAAAAGAAACCCCAACTCATTCTTTCTGGGATTTAGAAGAGATTCTACATTGCGTCGCATGAACTATTTTGAAAAAATAAAACTAAAAATTTGTATCATTTGAAAAACTATCAAATTATACTCATTAAATATTCATACCAAACCAAATGTATTAGATAACTACTTTATAGTTTATATACCATTTTATTCAATTTCATTAATTCTTGTCTTTCAAATCTTTCATGAGTTTTATCCTACTCCAAAACATTATTCATTATTATACAACTTTCATGTATGCAAAAATTAACTAAACTCCGACGATCTCATTTTTTCTTTATTGTCTATGTCAAATTCTTCTTTTTCCGTTTCTTCCGATTTTTCTTCGTCTTTTTTTTTCTTTCTATTTTTCTTCTTCCTTGTATTCTCATTCTTCTTCAATTAATTTATCGTCTTCGTATCACTTGACTCTCTTTGATTGTTCGTTTTCCCGAATTATTTCCTCTTTCATTACTAACTTTTCTTTTCTAACTTTTTATTCTTCTCGTTTTTATTTCCTATTTTTCCAACTTTGACTTCTTATTCTTTATGTTCCTGTTATCTTTTTTCCTCCTTCCTCTTCATCATCTTTGTGTGATCTGTCATTTTTTATTTTCTAGTGGTTTTATTCACCTTCTCGGCTTCTTCTTCGTCTTTTCTGTATGCGGCTAATTATTCCTCTTCTTTTTCTCCAACGATCTTAACTTCGTTTTTTCTCTCTTTTTATCGTCTTTTTCTGATTCATCTTTTTTCATCTTCTCATTCTTGTTGGTGTTCTTGTTTCATCCTTTTCATCTTCTCTAATGTCTTCTACTTCCTTATTTTTCTGATTTTTCTTTATTTTTTTTTCGATATTTTTTCGTCCTCAAGTATTTCATTTACTTCTTATCACATTCGTCTTCTTCAGCTTCTTATTGATCCGCTTTTTGTTTCTAGGTAAATTGACTAAATTGAAGGATAAATAGCAACTGGCTGCTATATATTTTATCAAATTCTTAAACCACTGTCGATTAAGAAATTTTTTTTGACAACTCTTTTCATTTTGAACTAAATATTTTTGCTTAATTTGTTATAATTGTTGTTGTTGTACAAAAATTCACTTGAAATTTTAAGAATAAGCAGTGCTATTATTTTATCGATATGATTTGAGCAAAAGATTAAACAATATAGTTTTTTTCTATTTCCCTTTTCATTAGAATTTTCAAAGACTAAAGTTTTCTTTTTTTTTATTAAAATTCTCAAAAACTAAGGATTTAAAAAACACACACAAAACTAAACCCTACACCCACCAATATAAACCCTACCTTCTAAACCTAACCCACCAATATAAACCCTATATTCAAAACCCTAACCCACCAATATAAACCCTACCTTCGTATCACTTGACTCTCTTTGATTTGTTCGTTTTCCCGAATTCTTTCCTCTTTCATTAGTAACTTTTCTTTTCTAACTTTTTATTCTTCTCGTTTTTATTTCCTATTTTTCCAACTTTGACTTCTTATTCTTTATGTTCATGTTATCTTTTTTCTCCTTCCTCTTCATCGTCTTTGTCTGATCTGTCATTTTTTTATTTTCTAGTGGTTTTTATTCACCTTCTCGGCTTCTTCTTCGTCTTTTCTGTATGCGGCTAATTATTCCTCTTCTCTTCTCCAACGATCTTAACTTCTTTTTTTCTCTTTTTATCGTCTTTTTCTTTTCTATTTCTCTTTTTCATCTTCTCATTCTTGTTGGTGTTCTTGTTTCATCCTTCTCATCTTCTCTGATGTCTTTTACTTCCTTATTTGTTCTGGTTTTTCTTTATTTATGTTTTTCGATATTTCTTCGTTCTCAAGTATTTCTTTACTTCTTATCACATTCGTCTTCTTCAGCTTCTTATTGATCCGCTTTTTGTTTCTAGGTAAATTGACTAAATTGAAGGATAAATAGCAACTGGCTGTTATATATTTTATAGCAAAATTTCTGTATCAAATTCTTAAACCACTGTCGATTAAGAATGTTTTTTTGAAAACTCTTTTCATTTTGAACTAAATATTTCTGGCTTAATTTGTTATAATTGTTGTTGTTCTACAAAAGTTCACTTGAAATTTTAAGAATAAGCAGTGCTATTATTTTATCGATATGATTTGAGCAAAAGATTCAACAATATAGTTTTTTTTTCTATTTCCCTTTTCATTAGAATTTTCAAAGACTAAAGTTTTCTTTTTTTTTTATTAAAATTCTCAAAATCTAAGGATTTAAAAAACACACACAAAACTAAACCCTACACCCACCAATATAAACCCTACCTTCTAAACTCTAACCCACCAATATAAACCCTACATTCAAAATCCTAACCCACCAATATAAACCCTATCTTCGTATCACTTGATTCTCTTTGATTTGTTCGTTTTCCCGAATTATTTCCTCTTTCATTACTAACTTTTATTTTCTAACTTTTTATTCTTCTCGTTTTTATTTCCTATTTTTCCAACTTTGACTTCTTATTCTTTATGTTCATGTTATCTTTTTTTCTCCTTCCTCTTCATCGTCTTTGTCTGATCTGTCATTTTTTTTTTTCTAGTGGTTTTTATTCACCTTCTCGGCTTCTTCTTCGTCTTTTCTGTATGCGGCTAATTATTCCTCTTCATCTTCTCCAACGATCGTAACTTCTTTTTTTCTCTTTTTATCGTCTTTTTCTTTTCTATTTCTCTTTTTCATCTTCTCATTCTTGTTGGTGTTCTTGTTTCATCCTTCTCATCTTCTCTGATGTCTTTTACTTCCTTATTTGTTCTGGTTTTTCTTTATTTATGTTTTTCGATATTTCTTCGTTCTCAAGTATTTCTTTACTTCTTATCACATTCGTCTTCTTCAGCTTCTTATTGATCCGCTTTTTGTTTCTAGGTAAATTGACTAAATTGAAGGATAAATAGCAACTGGCTGTTATATATTTTATAGCAAAATTCCTGTATCAAATTCTTAAAACACTGTCGATTAAGAATGTTTTTTTGAAAACTCTTTTCATTTTGAACTAAATATTTCTGGCTTAATTTGTTATAATTGTTGTTGTTCTACAAAAGTTCACTTGAAATTTTAAGAATAAGCAGTGCTATTATTTTATCGATATGATTTGAGCAAAAGATTAAACAATAAAGATCAAACAATATAGTTGTTTTTCTGTTTCCCTTTTCATTAGAAATTTGAAAGACTAAAGTTTTCTTTTTTTATTAAAATTTTCAAAAACTAAGGATTTTTAAAACACACACAAAACCAAACCAAACACCCACCAATATAAATCCTACCTTTTAAACCCTAACCCACCAATATAAACCCTACATTCGTATCACTTGACTCTTTTTAATTGTTCGTTTCCCCGAATTGTTTCCTCTTTCATAAGTAACTTTTCTTTTCTAACT